ATAAATAAGCACCATGTATAGTGTGCTGGGAGAAATTCTACGGAAAGAAGTGAAAATAGGGAGTGGAGATAGAGATGCTGTGGCGAGAGATAGGGCCCTGGATAGTGTCTGATTTATTTTCTTGTTTTTGGCCAGTGTATGGGCATCCATCTTTTCCTATGTCCCATTCGGATAACAGACAAGCACGAGAACTTTAAAAATTACTAAAGGTCACTAAGCACTAAATGACTAGGTAGTAGGGTAAGTTCAAGTGGAGAGACACAAGCATATACAAGAAGCACAAAAGTTTTCTCCCAAGATGCAGTGCCTGTCCCACTTTGCAGCTTGTCTCTCCCAAGATCCCTTTTCTGTGAACCTGAAATAACCCTACAGGCCTCCCAGGTTCCTTACTTCCTGTCCCAACTTGCTTTGGCCATCATATGCCACTTATTATGGTGAGTTTCTAGCCCAAGAGGGACTCCACTTTCTCCATGTCAGGCATGGTGAGTGACCTTCTCTCCCTTTCACGGCAGTAGGATGGCTTTGCCCTTTTGCCAGCTGTGGCAGAGATGCCCCCTGCTCCCAGAATACACATGCTCCTACAGTGTTCTCAGAGCCCTTGGAATTGCCACTCCGGGCTACAGTATCTGAAAGAAAGTGAGCAAGTCTCTAGTTCTTTGCACAGAGGCTGGAAGCCACAAACTGGGGTTGGTAGAACAGTATGAGGTAACCAGACTGGATCTCTGAATGTCAGTGTGGAATAGAGCTATTCCACAGTACTAGGCCCACAGTAGAACTTGTGTGAAGAAAAGCACACAGTTATGAGTGAATCCACTAATATGCAGGAATTTCTTTCTTACTCTAGTATAGTCTAGTCTAACCTGAATAATACCAGGCCTAATTAAATACAACAAGGCCACAGTGCAATGCATCCCAAAGCTCTCCTACAACTGACATGTGGCAGAAGACTATTCTTTCCCACACAGGAGACAGCGCAGAGGAGCTGTTAGGATTGTTAGCTTTGTGTTCAACAGACCTGAGTTCTAATCGTTGAAGTGCCCTTGCTAACTAGTTGTGTGATATTGGTTAACATTTATTAGCTCCTGTCTCTCCAAATCATAAAGTAGTTTTAAGAATTAATTAAGGCATCTAGTAAAATCTGGCACACTGTCTCAGAAAACTGCATGTTAAGGAGCCAAGGAACCTGTGCAGTGCAGATTCAGCAAGGTGCCTGCTGATTGGTTGAAACATGTATCTAAGGTGGAGCTCTGTGTGTTCAGGGAGCTGGGAAGAGACAACAGCAGTGCTGCTCCGTGGACCTCTCCAGCCATCCATACCTCCTAATATAGAGGTGAAATTCAATAGAAGTCCTGCTTTGTGTTATTTGGTTAACAGAAGAAGTATTTCCTCTTACAGCTACAAGTTGAGTATCCATTATCCAAAATGCTCAGGACTAGAGTGCTTTAGATTTCAGAGTTTTTCAGATTTGGGAATATTTGCATACACATAATGAGATATTATTTTAGTTCAGAATGAATGTCCCCTGAGGCTTGTTAAAGACCGGGTTCCCAGCCAGTGGTGCTGTTAGGAGGTGGTGGAGCCTTTGGAGGTGGGGCTTAGTGGAAGGGAGTTAGGTCAATGGGGGCGTGTCCTTGAAGGTGATATTAGGATGTCAGCCCCTTACTCTCTTTTTGCTTCCCAGCTGCCACGAGGTCAATGGGACTCCTCTGCCACATGCCCCTCCCATGATGCACTGTGCCACCAGGGGCCCAGTGCAACAGGACCAGGTGACCATGGATGAAACATCCAGACCTTTCTTCCTTTTAACTTGACTCATCTCAGGTATTTGTTAAAGTGATGGAAAGCTGATTAATACAGATGTTTTAGAGAGTGCACCAAAGTCTAAACACAAAATTCATTCATGTCTCATATACACCTTGTACATATAGCCTGAAGGTAATACAGTACAATATTTTTAGTGCAGCTATGTTCTAACTGGGGCCCATTACAGGAAGTCAGGTGTGGAATTTTCAACTCATAGCGCTTCATGTTGGCATTCAATTCAATTCATTGAATTTCAGAGTGCTTTGGATTTTTTGATTAGTGATGCTCAATCTGTAATAGAAATTTATGTGAATTAATATGTATAATTAAAAGTTGACCTGAGAAAAGTTATATTTTAAGATTCTAAAAATAAGCTCTTTTTAGTTGGAGGATGTGAATCACAGCCGAAGAATTGCAAAAGATTTAAGGATAATGATCGAGTCTCCTTTAAATACGTCACATCTAAGAAGTCAAGATGGAATTTAATCAACATTGAAAATTTTCAGAAGTTGGCAGAATTAGAGCGGTGATAGCTCTGAGAGGTCGCGGAGTGATTTCCTTCTGACAGGATTACATCAAGACCATCAGTCCTGCCAATATCACGTCTCTGAGAGATGGTGCTGGGCCCCTGAAGAGAGGGTGCAGAATTGGCTCATGTCAAAATGATGGGTGGGGATGTTTGAAGCACTGAACAGAGCACCACGAGAGACAGGAATCTGTTTAAAGTGTGCAAGGGTAGGATTCAGGACCGTCACAGGAGAGTGTCCATTGGCAATCCAGCATTCTGCTGGGGCAAGTGGAAGTTGATATTCCAACTCCATTACCAGAGCAGTGACAAAGTTAAGCTATTGGCTCTATTATCCATTTCTTTCTTTCTTTTTTTTTTTTGGTATGGGGGATTGAACTTGGGACCTTGCACTTCTGAGGCAGGCACTGGAACCACTGAGCTAAATCTCCAGCTCTATTATCCATTTCTTAAATTCCTACATTGTAATAGATACCACTGTATTAAGATGTGGAGATGAGACACTCTCCTAGGTAGAAAAACCCTCTCCTGGAAATCACTATTTAACCTCAAAGCTCTATTATCAGACACTTTCTCCTTTCTTTGCAAGACAGATCCTAAAGAACAAGATTAGAAATCATCAAGGAAAGATTAAATAGGGCTCGGGCTGGTTTTACCATTCAAGATTTTAATGTCTATATGAAAAAGTGAGCTATGTGTAATACATGATGCAACTTCTTTGGAACAGGATTTGACTCTATACTGATCAGTATTCCCCTTCCTTTCTGACCAAATTGCAATGAATAACAGAGTGTTTGCTGTATTTCTGTAGCACCTAAACATTTTTAATCCAGTAAAGCACTGCAGCAGTATCTCCTTCCTCTCAGAAGAGCCCACCTCCTGGTTTCCCATAAGACATCATGGGAAATGGCCACAAACTGCTTCCGGGTTAGGTGGGTGAGACTTTACATTTACTAATTTTTCTTTCTGTTTCCCAGGCTGCATTTTGCTCAGACTCTCCTGGAAAGTGATTTGTGAACACTGCAGGGACTTCTTCATCTCTGAGTGGATGTTCAGAAACCACCTGGGAAGAATGCAGATGCTCACACACCTGCCCATGGTAGCAGCAGACTACACGGGGGCTTCTAACACCTGAACACGACCACAGGTCACACAGGGATCCTGTACGTCCTAGCTTGATACTATACGATGGATAACTGTACCTAAATGTCGTATTGTCGCCCACAAATATGTACAATTTCTGAGTGTCCCTCAAAAATAAAAATGGAACAAGAGGAAGAAAATGTCTCAGCAGGTCTAGGATCCTGCCTGAGATTCTGCACCTTTAACAGGCTTGCAGGAGCCGCTGCCTGGTGGGATGCACTTTGAGTGGCAAGGTCCTATGATGTCATCTTTCGAGATGTTGCCGGTCTCTAATGTGGCAGGAGTATCGGAGGGGACATGAGACCAACTACATCTGAGACTCATAACGCAACTTCTCTGAACTCTGGCGTCCTCCTTTATAAAGTGAAATACACAAATTTACAGAGCTGCCATGAAACTAGTCAATGTTCCAAATAAAAACAAGTTCAATGGATAGGTTCATGTAGAAGTTTTTTGTTTTTTTGTTTTTTGAAATTGGGTCTTGCTAACAAGTTACACGTACACCATGTTTCATCTTTATCATCTTGCAGTGTTTCTTTGGAACATTTGGGTGGAAAAGCACATGGATGTCACATTCTTCCTGATGTGGAGCTTCACTCGGTTTGAGGATCCCTTCATTCATGTCTCTCAATCTCCAAGCTGCAATTCTGTTGAAGTCTACTTATCCACTTCTTGGAACTGCTTTTTAATGTGACACAAAACCATTATAATTACCACTGGGAAGTAAAGAGATGGTGCAATTCAGCCCAAGTGGAAGACAGAACACAAGGGCATACATAATTTTCATGTTTTAGGTTGAAGGTTCTAATCCTTTTGCTCATTTAATTCCTGAATTGGGAAGTATTATACAAAGACTTCATTTTTAAAGCCTAAAGCAAAGCTTAGTTTAGCAGCCAAGTATGGATAAGAAAGGAGTGAAAAGGTGATAATATGAGTCCATGGTCTTTAGCATTTTTCAGAAAGTATGTCTGAATTAATGCTGATAGGCCCCTTGTAAGTTGTCATGTTTCCTAGAAGTATCCATGAATGTTAGCAGAGTTAGCAGAGATACCACAAAATCTAAATAGGGAAAATCTTCTATTCTTGGGAGAGGCCAAAAGCATTCAGAGAAAAGAAGCATGTATAGGAAATGCTGATTCCCTTGAAAGAGTGGTCCAGAGCCACTCACGCCTAATGGGCTGTGGCTTTGGGGACCGTTTTACTGCAGTAAGAGGGTAGATGAAGATTGTTGGTAGCCAAGTGTGGTGGTGAATGCCTGTAATCCCACCTATTTGGGAAGTTGAGGCAGGAGGATTGTGAATTTGAGGCCAGCCTGGGCAACTTGGCAAGACCCTGTCTCAAAATAAAAATAAGGGCTGAGGATGTAGCTCAGTGGAAAGACTTTGGATCAATGTCTCTGTTGTCTCTATTTTTTGTTTTTTATTATTTTTCTATTATTTTGGTCCTAAGTTCAATTTTCCTAAGAATTAGTAAATAGCCAGTTGTAATGGCATGCTCGACTTTTCCTTTTACCTAAATTTAGCATGAGTGCGTGTACAAAGAGATTTATTTATTTTCTACAAGAACAAAACTTACCAACAGTTACTTGTGAATATCATGAAACAAACTTTACCAAGTGGACTACAGAACATGGACACACAATTTGGAATTGAAAAATCTCCACTTATCAAGCCAAATTTTGTATTCTCTCTGTTAACATTATCTGATTTGGTTCTGTATTCTGTTCAGGAAATATCTTCTTAATCTTCATACCTTAGGAGGATATTTTAAAAAAAGAATTTTAGAAAATCTTAAAAGTTACTGGATGGTGAGATAACAGCAACTTCTTTAACAAGAACAAAGCTACTATAATAAAAGCCATCAGGTTTGAAATATTTATGAAAATGTTTAATCAACTGTTTCTTTGGAATGTAGTAGTCATAGTTTGGAATTTAAGTTACAGTTCAGTTCTATGTGGTTTTTATGCTACTCAGAGTCTGAGAATACAAATGTCATTTAAAGTTAAGGCTTCGCTGTTCATTCTGAAACAACAATTTACAAGTGTCATATTGTCATAGAAAATAAAAATTTCTGTAAAAAAAATTTGCACAAAATTTTATGATGGTACAAAACATGAAGCAATAACATACCAGTAAAATGAAAACATTTTACTACAGAAAGTTTTATAGATTTCAATAAAGAAAAAATATGTTATTTTACACCTTTAAAAATTACGAAACAATCTAAAACAATATAAACTGAATATTTTATAACACTGCCTTTACAAATTAATAACTTTATAAACATATAATTTTTAAATATATTTATCAGTGCAAGATACTTTAAAATTTAAAGTTGCAGTATCATTTTTCCTTGGCTAGGACAAAAATGAAGTCAAGTCTTGCTCATTGCTTTTCTCCTGGCATGATTATAAGAACTGAATGAATGCCCCTGGGGACAAAAACCTATTCTTCTTTCTTGGTAATCAATATTTTCCTGGAACTGAAAGGCATTCTCAATCCAATTAAATCAAGATGAATGGACTATTCCATCCATGATGCAAATATGGCTCCCAACAGATATATTTGAGGGAGACCTACAGCAATGTAGGAAAGGAGAAAGGGGTAAAAACTCTTATTACAGCCTGGCATGAGGAGCTACACCAAAATAATAGTGCTTCTCTGGGTAAACTCACACGCTGCCTCTAAGATATTTACTATTCTGTGCTGTCAGAGGTGTAGGCTTTATCAGGCTGAGACAGGCTTTTTCCTCATGAGACTCGAAGTTTCTAGAAGCGTTTGTTCAAGTCTATTTTGGGGAGCTTGCCGCTGAATGGATGTTTAAAAATGCTTGTTTTGACTTCACATGCCCTTCCACCATTATCTTAAAATAATTCACCAACAACCATCAGGATTTAAAATCTTTTTCTTAAATTAACTATTGTCCCTTTCACTTCCCAGGTCCGACTTAATATCAAAACAAAAAGGTTCTCATGGGTTATTTTTGCACATTCATATATAAAAATTTCATTTTTTTTTAGATATTTAGAAGATATTATTCAGTCCTTCCTTTGGGTCTCACTTGAAAGCTAATTAGTATTATTTCTTCCTTCAGCTGATCACTATTTCCATTAGACCCAAACATTTCTACTGAACCTTATTCTGATTAGAATAGACAGAAAAATGGCTTTCGGAAAAAAGATACTGTCACTTTAACCAGTTAACAAGAAAACCAAAGTTAGACTTTGGAGGGTAAAGTTAGGAATTTCCCTTATTTATTTATTTATTCTTAAACATAAAGTCTAGTCAAATTGCTCGCCATTACCAGCAGGTTAAAGCTGCGAGTTTCTTTTCTGGACAATGGCAAATGCTTAAATTCTAAGAGAGAAAAGAAGACAGACAGAGAGAGAGAGAGAGAGAGAGAGAGAGAGAGAGAGAGAGAGAGAGAAGGAGAGAGAGAGGGCAAAGAGTTTACATTTGAAAATACATTCCATATGAAAGAACAATACGAGAGAATATTGCAGCTTTATACAAAAGGGTCAAGAGACATGAAATTGAACCACAGAAAAAGTAGAACAATTAAGCCACTGTGCCAAGTCTTCAGAGCCCTCGCCTTCCCGGGCACTGACATGTCGCACTAAAATATACTTTCTTCTTAGTCAGTGGGCCACCAGGGCTTGGTGAAAGAGGAGGGCTTTCCTCAGCAGGAAACAGAGTGGGTCGAGAACGTAACACAATGAACCAGTACAAACAAAAAGGCACTTGAGAGGACACAGACGAGCCAGTGCCAAGGACTTCTGTTGTGGTTGTCAGCAGTACGCCCAGTTGGTTGCCAGCAGAGTTTGGTGACGGCACAGTTTCCCGTACGGCGTTCACGAGCACGGGATTTAGTACAACACTGGAGAACATCAAGAAAAATGTGACGGTATTGCTTCATAAACAGAGCTGGCACGCTTTATCGGTATGGAGGCTACAGTGCTTTGAAAATAAAACACCCGAGTCCTTCCTCTCTGCACACACGGGGAATTATACACAGGACTGACTTTGGGAGTCCACTGAAGTGCGCTTAGGCTGATGTATTCTGGGCACTGGGCAACCAGCCGTACGTCCGTCGGAAGGGCCCCTCGGAATACACGTGGTGCCAGCATCTTGGATTCTGCAGTTTTCAAAAGAAGCCATCAAAGGAAGAGGGGGAAGGGGAGAGGCAGGGAGAGTCAAAATGAGTCGTGAAGTCCATCCTGCTTGGTCTCAACACCAGCATCTGATTATTCAAATGAAACCAACAGAAGAAGCTGACTGTACATGATTGCGATTGTGGACACAGCTCACTGTCGCTGTCTGTCGGCCGTGTGCATCGAAGCTCCTGAGAAAAGCCTGGCTCAGCGTCATCCCCGCACTTTCCAGCCTGACCGTGAAAGCGGATGACCTTCCCCAGCACGCTCGAGTCACGTCCTCCACTTCCAGCTTCCGCCCGACTTCATGCTTCCGAATAGGAACTCTGTGTATTCAGTTTGTCTTTTTTCAACTTCACTCCATCCACGAGTTCAAAGTTGTAGTTCTCCAGGGCAGACAAGTTTCTCTCGGACATCCCGTTGTGCCAGCAGGCACAGTAGAGCACGACCCCGCACACGGCCCCCAGCAGGACCCCCAGTGCACTCATGGCTATGATGGTGATGAGGATGGGGTCCAGGGTTTTCAGCACATTGCCTGGTTTCCGGGAGATGTTCTTGTCGCCTTCTCCCCCGCCCTCGTATCCGGGGGTGCTCCCTGCGGAGAGAAAAGTGGCTCCGTGAGCACTGCAGGTGGCTACACCGGCTGAGGGCGGACAGAGGTGGAGGAACAGGCAAAGGCCAGCCAGTCACAGCTCCCGCTGTGCCCGTCAGCTGGACCCGTGGTGGGGAGTGGAGTTGTGGGAGGTGAGGCAGCCAGGACTGGGGCCCACGGCTCAGCATATGGGAACCGAGACCCCCGTTCTGATTGAATTCAGACTCCATGCAATTAACTCTGTGCTACACTGTCGTCTGTGTTTGCGGCCCTAGGTCAAACATGTGGCCACTTGGCAAATGCAGTGTTCAGCGGGGAGAAGGGCTAACCATGACCCGCGCAGTGCCGGACCAAGGCAGACTTCTGTGCTCCTGCACACACACTCACTGTCCTGAGTGGGGGACCCACGCCAGTGCTTGCCCTCCTGCGTGGAGAACTGGTAAGTCACGTGGGCTTTCCTCCAGTCTACTGCAGCTTCACCTAGGGAGAGAGCAAGGGAGCGCTTCCTGCTCACAGGTTGAAGCCTGCAGTTCAAACCGAGGAGCCGCGTCCGGGCCATGCCGAAGGGAAAACCCACTGGAGACCATCACACTGCTCTGCAGCTGACACACCCGGACAGGTTTTCTTTAGAGTGGGGCCTGAGAAATTTACACGGGAACGCTGAGCCTAATTACCTGGGACCAGACTCAGGGCTCAAATGTTCATGTGCAGCACGCATGGTGTTTACCTTACAGTGTTCTGATCAACGAATATTCCAATGAACAGGCACTAAAAATATCCTCTGTGAGTCTCGAAACAGGGGAAACGGGCCCCGGGGGCATATTATTAGTCTCTCCCTTGCTGATATAGTGTTTTGAAACAACTTTTAATAACATTCACTGGGAGGTGTGTGGATTGGGGAATGTGCTAATATTTGCAACAGCACAATGCCGTATTTATCTATCTACCAAGTTCAGGCTGGCTACACAGTAGGATTATGTTTCCAATGGCAACAGACGGCAATGCACAATGATGATTTGGGGCAGGTGTCTAAGAACTCACAGTGCTGGCCACGAGGAACAGAGGTTTATGGGAATAAATAATACCAAGCCTAAGAATAAATAATACCAGGCCTAAATCAGGGTCAGATGAAACACATTTCAGAGTAAATGAGACTCAAGTCCAAGGCCACTCCCTAATTAGCTGCATCCCTTAAACTTCAGCCTCATGATCTGTATGGGGGTAAACAGCTGTATGAGATATAAGTGAGACAATAAATGCAAAATGCGCAGAACATACTAGCTCCTCAACAAATCCCTATCAACGTTGTTTTCACTGTCATCAGCAGACTGGGGTTCCAGTAGAGGATGATGGGAATAGAGGGATCAAACATAATGGGTTATCAGAAACACTGGACTCTAGTCCCTCAAAGATCCCACATGGGTATCAACCAGACACAAACATTTGAGTTGGTTTCGAGTTATTGTAGGAAAATACTCTTCACTAGTCTGCATAATTATAAAGTAAGAACGTTTCACTTGATTTCAGGATTAACACTAAGGCAGGGGAAGGCCCAACCGTGTACCCCAGCCATCCTGTCAGAGTCTCCTGCACTTTATGGGCAGCTCAGTGACAAAATTCAATCCTCAGCACCGACCCCCACCAGGGTCCGGCACAGATGTTTATTTTATTGAGTTACTGTGACATGTCAGGTTATGTGAATTTCTTCACAAACAGAACGAAAACCACAGGAAATATGAAAATCGGTCAGCAATTTTACCTGTTTCATCGATTTTAATTTCCGTGTTCTTTTTATCCAGGTCATCCGGTTCTGACAAGCCAAACAAAATCGAAAGGAGATATTTGAATGGTCAACGAAATGCACGACACACAAACTACACAGGCCTTTGCACACCTGCACACGTGTGCAAGATGCGCCTCTGTGGGGGATCCGCTGGAGGTTTTAGTGCTCTCTGAATGCAGACAACGACTCCCTTGAGCGACAGAGAGCCCATGGGCATTGATTATGGAGTTGGTGACATGGGCAGAGGACACTTCCCTGCGGGCGTCACATGGAAATGCAGGTGGTATGGCTGTCAGCAGAGCATGTCGTTTCAGAAGAGAACATGGTGGAATGTGGGAATAATCTGAAGAAAATGGGGGCAGAGGTGGAGTTGGACCCATGGCTAACAGGCTGCAGTGAGCAGAGAACTGCTTCCTGCCTTTGGTGGGAGTTAATTGGGCTTTCCAAATAGCACGTCAGTTCTTTGACACAAGAGACAGTATCCTGTGTATCACCAATGGCAATAAACAAATTAATGAAATAAGATAAAATTCTATGGAACAAGTTCAATCCCAGGGTCCCTTGTGAGACTGATACAGAGGGAGTTCTGAGCACTTTGTTGCTGGTGGTCTGCGGCATTTAGAATAGCATCAAGCACATGATAGATGTTTTGATGAATACTTGCTGTGTAAATGAATGAATAATAGTGGAGACTCTTAGTGCATCCATGGCTAGATGCTCAAGGATGTGTATTTGATGAATAATTTATTATCTTTAACATCTCTGTATAGGTGCAGCCCCATATAAGTATGATTCACTGGAGCTCCACTTGTGACTTTCGGACTACAATGCCTGGCAGCACCTGCAGCTAGGTAGACCAATCACAGGAAAGGGGCAAGGCTTGTGGAGTTCTCTTCATCTGTGTGCACTGGGCGTGCTGCTCTGCATGCAGCTAATAATGTCTGTTGAACTGAACTGAATTTCACTTCTTTGTTTTAGTTTGTGCAGTTTGCTCTCACATCCCGTACACATCAGTAACATCACTCTCGGATGGAACCCCCCGAACATCAGTAACATCACTCTGGGATTCCATACACTGTGTAACTACACGAGATACACATTTTCACTGAAGGATAGACTCGGATGTGGATAATTTGTAAAGTAGTTGGAATTGAAATATTAAGCTATATCATATTTTTTGGCAAGCATTTGCTAAGCAGCTGGAATTAAAGAGATTTCTTTGCATAGAATGAAAAGCAGACCTTTATTCACGTTTTTTTTTTCAAATTTCTTCAATTGACTTTATCAAATTATTGCCACTTTGGGGATTACATATATTCAATATATTGTATAGTAGAAGCTCTTTAAATTGCTGAAATGACCAAGAATTCATTACAGCCAACAGGCTTCCTTTTTCCTAAATTTGCCCAATAGGCTTAATCCATCTTGTTATAATTAACATCCTATTATATAATGATGTACAGCAAAAGTTTAAGTGTAGCAAATGGAGCTGAAGACTCATTTCTGTGCTATTACATTGTCATTAGTGATGCTATTTGTAATTATATATCAAGAACTAGGGAATATGAATTGGTTTTCTATGTCAGATTTTTATCTGTATAGTACTAGACCCATAAAGACCAACTCTGAAATCCTAGACAAAGTCTCTGCATTTCATTTATTCTTTTCAGTCATTTCAGCTATCTTTAGAGTGAGAAATGTCTACTTATTTGCAATAAAGCACAGAATGTTGTTTTCTATGATTCATTAACAATGTAATCTTAATTAAATTCACTGTGATCGAAATTTTCAGAAGCCTGCTGTTCTGTTTACACACTCAGATATTTGGAACTATCCAGCTGTCTGAGCTCTCCTCTTCTCATCAAAATATTTTGGTATGCCAGATATAACTTGCAAAATAAATCTTTCTGCTTTGCTATGATCTTTGGATTCCACATTTATTTATAAAGTGTTGTAGGTGTCAGGCAGACATTCTACATGGACTAGATCAGGTGATGCCGTAGGTTAAGATCAGTGGAATTGATTTTTATGCCCTAGTATACCAGAATGTGAATTTCATATATTGAAACCCACGTGGAAATTTTAGGTGTCACATGAGCAAGATAAAGACCACCACATGGAAAGAACCTTGCCCTGGGCATGAGCTCCACTGGTTTCTACATCCAACATATACTCACTTGCACAGTCTTCTTGTGAAATGTGGTTATTAATACTAATGTCATCCACTGCAATTCCGCCAAGGTTTCCTTTTCCGATTTCGCCCTCAAAAATCACCTGACAAAATGAAAGCATTTCACAGTATTTAAATGCTCATCCCAAAATAGCCCTGTTTACAAATGCTTGTTCACCTGAAGCCCTGGCACACAAATGAAACTCGTGAGATTGTGGATAACCACGCACTTCGCTCATCAATCCATATCAGCTGCCTGGTGACGGGATAAAACATCTCCTCACATTCCCCGTGTATAATGCAGACGTTAAAACAGGGGGAAGGTGGCAAATAAAAGGAATGATATCTCACAGCGGCTGAGAAATAGATTACCACAATGCATTTCCCCTTCTTTCTCAGCAAATCGGGTTATCCTGTAATCTAGGAGACCGAGAAATATGCTATGGAGCCGATGAGCCCTGCAGCTAGTAGCTCAGGTTTGGGAGACATGTGAAGTAGCTGTTGGAAGAATTTCTGCATGTCATCTGGAGACCTGCAGCATGGCTGTCCCCAGCCCAGGGAAGCTCATACCTGGTAAAGCTTCAGAGACTTGTGGAGCAAGACACGCCCTTCCTTCCAGTGGTCGCCTTGGTGCCCGATGGCCATCCAGACCAGCTGATCATATTCCTCCGGCTTCTGGTAACGCAGTTTGACCCTCAGTGTGCCGACGTGAGACCCAGACATGTGGTACCAGAAGGTCATGCAGTGGGCGGAGTTCTGGGAATAGACCACAGGGCTCACCAGGCGGGCCACTTTGCCCTTCTGATTTTCATCAGCTTGGGAGTAGATGAAGTTGCCATCTCCTGCTGTGGCAAAAAACCGTGTTAGGGAGAGTGGCCAGGAATAGGACGACCCCTTCATCTCTTTCAAGTTCCACCAACCAGAATTTCTCCCCTGAGCTGCGTGCCCAGCACCCAAAGAGGTGGTGGAAACAGCAGTGTGCAGGGGAACATGGTGGGCACCTGTGGCCCTGGGGGAAGGCTGTGAAGCAGCCCCAGTCTGGAAAACCCTTAGGCAGTGCACCTGTCACACGCACACAAGGTGTGACTCAAGTTAGCTTGGCATCTTCAAAGGCTGACCGGAGGCCCAGACCGTACCTACACCGAGTCGAAGGTGTCAACCTGCTGGGAAAAGCTATTCTGATGTGATTCTAAGGCAGCTTTTGGAGCACCCTCGTGAACACAGGTGTGAAGTGGACTAATTAGATGCTTTCTTATGCATCTTCTGAATCGCTGGACTCCTGGATGACTGATAAAGCTTTGGTCACTAGACTGCTTGATAATTGTACACTTAACGTTTTCCCCAAATAATCCATTGGCCTTCTTTTCAAATCCATCCATTCTTCCTTTAGTGTATGTTAACAGTCTATGAATTCCTCAAACACACTCAAGAGCTTGATTTTCAAGTGTGAGCCCTGCTTCTCTTTGAAGGGCTTCTGGCTCAAGGAGAAGCAAGGCTGGACTTTGAGGCTCATTAGTATGCGCCAGTTTGGTATCTCGGACACTGGCTGAGCCACGAGGGCTGACTCTTGACTTCACATTTAATTATCCCCCTGGGAACATTTCCTCTTGCCTCCACCTGGTCCAAACACAACTTATGTTTCACTGTTTGTTCTGCAAATAGAAATCACCAGCTCTGATGCCTCACCCGACCTAAGTGTGAATGTGATGCCCGGGCCTCAATGGGCAGTGGGCTGGTTTGTGTGCTGCCCTAGAGGGTTGTGTATCCATGAGGCACTTTCTCACTGTGCATATGTGGAACACAGCCTCGTGTCTGACTGTCAGCAGTGTCGGTGCAGAAGTGGATGGGCTAGTGGACAGCTTTCTCCCTTACCCAACTGCCCACCAGCTCCCCCCAGAACACTCTTATTAAAACCAATGGGGAGAACCATGAAAGAAGGGCAGAAACAAGTCATAGCTCTGGCAGGATGGAGGCTACACGGGGCATCTTTCTCCTTCTCTCCCCTTGTGGAGAGTCCCCTTTGTCCCAGCTGATTCTGTCACTCCTAGGATTTCTTCTGCCCTATTAATTTACCAAGCTGCAGTCACTTGTTTGTGTGACACAACCACTGAAAAATATACCCCTCACCCCTGCTACCTGAGTCTTATGGGAAGAGGCTGAAGTTGGCCATGCTGCAGAAAGGAAACATCTACTGAACCTATTTACTGAAGTTCCTCTAGGCTGGCCAGAGAACAGGGAGTCAAGAGGAGACAAAGGATGGGTGAGAGAGGAAGGCTTCTGAAGAATCCTCTCACAGTGATGTCTCTCTGGCATTGTGGTCTTCTAGCAATCTGCTCCTGTGATTCCTTCACTTAAAACTCCTCATTGGCTCTCCACTGCCTCCAGTCTATCCATACTTTTTCACAGCACTAATGCCACAAACCTAGATATTACATATAAACATATTTTCAAACTACCCCACTTGTAACCCATTAAAACAAAGCTACATCAGCTGGCCCTTAGAACAAGACTTCCTTCTCTGACTCCTCCTGTATTTCCTTTTACCATCGCTGCTCATCTCTGCCATGGGATGCCCCAGCTCAGCTGCATGTAAGGGGTTCACATCCACAACCAGCCTGTGAGGCCCTCAGGGTCGGGGGCACCCTGCTTTAGCAGCTGTTCCTGGGGATCTGTAGGGCATTGGTTATAGGACCCCAGGGACTGAAAATCCAGCTCAGTCCTCTTAGACACAATGGTGTAGTACAACTGGCCCTCCAAATCCATGGGTTTCAAATCCATGGATGCAACTAAACTCACACCAGATACATATATGTACTGTGTCTATACTGAACATGTGCCATTGTTCCATAAATAATGTGACACACCAAGTTTTCACACAGTGTTTATAATAAAATATGTTACATATTATAAGTATTCTGGACATGATATAAAGTATACAATAGGATGTGGGGAGGTTTAATGCAAATATTATGCCATTTTATATAAGGGACTTGAACATCTGGAGCCAAACTCCTGTGGATACAGAAGGACTCACTTCTGAATTCACATATAACTTACACACTTCTTCCTTATACTTTACATTATCTCTACATTACTCCCAATACCTAATGCAATGTAAATGCTATGTAAATAGTTGTTGTACTGTATTGTTTAGGGAGTAATGACAAGAAAAATCTGTCATGTTCAGTAGGGATGCAGTTTTTCTTTGTGGATACTTTTGATCTGAGGTTAGTTAAATCCATGCATGTGATACCCATGGATACAGAGAGTTGACTGTACCCAAATTTCCGGTGCCCAGCATGGGCCATGTCAAAGAGCTACTCATATAAAGAGCCATGAGGGAAAGAAGCTGGATTTGGGGAATGTTCTGTAAGAGGGAATATGGTTGCATTCTTAGAGGTCAGATACAGAAAGCCAAGTGGGCTTTCTTTAAATTCAGAACTGAGTATTTTACCTATATGGTAGTGATTAAAAAGCCTTAGCATCTGATTTGCAAAGCTCCAAACAATATTATCAAAAAGTGCCACATACTCCCCAGTGTGGGCTGCATGTGTGAACCAGGCAATGGTTCCTTTCATCCACACCGGCTCCCCTTAACAAGTCCCTGCCTCACAGACGCAAGGACGCTGCCCCTCTCTGATGACTGTGTTTCATGTGCCTCAGAAGCTCTTTCTAGTCGGGCAGACGGGCACGGCGGCCAAGTAAATCTGGGTGGCTGGAGAACAAAGGAGCCAAATCCTTCTGAAGGAATCACACATCTCAGCTGCTCATCTAAGACAAGCCCTCCTTTTTGGACACCCCAACACATAAAATGCTGATATTTTCCCTTTCAAGGGTTTTATCACAGTTCTGGGTCAAGAACTCTGTCTTCATTTTCTCAATTAGCACCTTACTTCTGCAAGCCTTTTAGCTTTTGTCTCTGGCTAACATAGCTTTTAACCTCCTTTGAATGTCAGGTCCTACTTTCCTTCACTTTGCATCCATTTTTCCACCATTACTGCCTTCATTTCAGCTAATTGCATTTAGTTAATTTGATGCCATTTATATGTACAGTGCCACTTACAGTCAAAGTATTTTAAGTTTTCTAAAACTGCTTGTCTTAAAATTCAATGCAAAGTGTCTCAGAATTGAAGGAGTCCAATTTTATCCAATTTCCTTGTCATTCTCATTAGGCAGGGAGGTAGCCGTGGTGGAAGGAGGCCTATTCAACCTATTTAATGGTCCTGTTCACTGAGAAAAAGGGAAAAACAAAGAGGGAAAGGCCTGAAGTACACTCTGGCGGCCCTTAGCCCATAGGCCCGGGCTCTGGGGCAGCAGTGTGGGGAGAATGAACTGCGATTTCTCAGCATGACATCTGCTCCTCTGGGGACCCTTTGGGAAGTTGCTCCTGGAGGGAGCAGTGGTCGGTATCACTGAGGAGAGTAGCAATGTAGGGTTGGCAGTGTTTGCATAAGTGTGTGTGTGTGATGTTTTTGGTGGGACATTGCTGATTTTATATACGGTGATGAAATTTCCAGGTGGAATAAAGAGCTTACGGAGCAACTGCCAGCTCCCTCTGTCCCCAGATCCTGCCTACTGCCACCGATTAATAAAGCAGGAAATAAAGCAGCAGGTGGGCTGGGCTGTGAGTTGGGGTGTGTGGAGGTTTCTGCCTGCTCAGAAACGGGTTAGATGTAACAAATCTCTCCTTACAAGAATAAGAAGCTCACCCTCTTTTGCTCCTACCTCCACATCAGGGCTAGAGAGAGCCAGCATCGGGTTTACTCGTTTCTTTGTTGTAAAATAAATGATGTGGCGTAATATGCACCCAGGTACATATTAATCCAGAGGCAGGGATGACAGAGGTAACTGATCGAGAGTCAGAGATGACAGCAATAAACTAAGATTCCTATGATCTAATCATTATTGAAGCAGAGTTATGTACATATAATGTGCATTATCTTATCTTGTTTATACTATTGCATGTATTGAAGACTTCTTAATTAAGAGTCCAGATAAAGGATAAAACAAGCATGAATTCACCCACCTTTCTCAGGTTGGTGTTGCTCAGTGAGGCCAGCTGCATTCCCAATATCTGCCCAAATAATCTCCACCAGGGAAAGAGGCCTTGTTCAGTCCAAATCGCAGGCACGAATGGAATGAACACTCATCACAGTTTCTTACGCCCCTAGATGCAGCACCAGGAACCCTCCCAGGGATGTGGTCTCCAATGCACAGAGGCCTTGCAGCCCTGATGCCACGGCACCCGTACCTGTATGGTCCTGGATGGGTCCTGTCTTGCTGGTGAGCACACTCCACTTGAGCTGCACGTGGCTGTCATGTTCCCAGTGACAGAATGTCTTGTGAGAGCCCCAGCCAAACTCACAGTTGAAACCATATGTTGGAAACTCTTCAGTGAGCAGGAAGGGAAAATAGAGACAAGCAGAGCAAGACAAATTTAATCACTCAGGGTCAAAGAGGCCTTTAATACACTCATGGACAGCATGAGTTTTATAACTTCATGTCTGTTTCAAAAATTCTGGGAAAGCCACAAAATCCAGGATTACCAAGGAACCAACTGATGTACAGGGATGTCAAAATATTTGCAAAATCACATTTAGTATTATTATGTTTTATTTTATCCAGCTCTAAAAAGATTATGGACTGCCTGTCAAGTTGGGTTTACATAATATTTCCAGGAAGCCTACTTTCCAAGGGATGTATATTGCATCTGCAGCATTTTCCCGACTTCCACCATATTTAATATGAAAGATTCTCTGTTCTTGAGGGTGAATCACAGAAACTGATATCCATCAATGAAAAGAAACTTATTAGAGGTTGACCTGTGGCCCTCAAAAGTCTGGAGCTGGGATGTGCCAGAGCGCCTTACCCCGCAGGCTCTATTATGCTAGAGCAGCCGATGTTTCAGGTCCTCGGTGTCAGAAGTCTCTGAAGCATTTTCTTAAGATTTGATATTTTTTTCCGTCTGAGCTTTTCCATCAGGTCAATTAATTGAAGAATACATTTCTGCTTTTTTAGTGAATTTCTAAATTTGCATATAAATTATTCTATCCACTTAAAACCTCAATGCAAGGTCATGTAAAGCCAGAGCACATTTAAATAGCCACCCATTTACATTCTTTTAATCTTCAAAATGCTTCCATTGGAAGCTGGAAAGAAAGCATGAATGGATACGCAGGAATGACTGAACCTGTAGGTCCTGCATGGTGTTATCTGCTGTGCGTTTGTTAAACCTCATAGCCTTATTTTATTTAACCTCATTTTTAAAAAAGAGCTTGACTTTTTAAGTATGGGAGAAAATGAAATTCTTGATATACAAAAAGTTGTTTTGGTAAAAGTAATCAAACAATAAAGATAATTTTAAAGGTAAATTCTCACGACCCACTCCTCCCCTCAAATGGGAAGCACACAAAAGCAGCAGTTTTCTCTAATGAAGGAGGCCTTCGCTTCGCATGCTGGGTAGACGATCCACAAGATGGCAGCATTGAGACAGAGAGAACGACCCGAGGTTGTCTGGCAACTGCACTGAAGGCCCTGGAACGACCAGACCACTGTGTACAGTAAGGAAAGTCTGGTATCATGTGTTGCCTTAGGGTCCGGCTGAGACCAGATCTCATTTTGAACTTTTCTCTCACTTGCCCAAGTGTTTAGCACAAAGTATCTTGTTTTTTCCTCTGCCTGGTCTCCACTACCTTCTCCCACTTTAACAATGGCAGGAGGGAATTTTCACGGAAAGATTTATTGCATGGATAAAGAGGATTCACCTCAAAGTTTTGGCTTCAAGCTCAAGCACCAATGGCAAGTTTTGGAAAGAACTCACTGTATGTACCTTCGCAACTAAGCCGAATGGATTCTCCCAATAATAAAGTGACCTCCCAAAGGGGATCAGAGCCAGTTGGGGACAGTGAAGCAGGCCATGAGATGTATTTAATGTGCACAAATTCAGTTAGTGCAAAAAACTGTACTTCACAGCCATAGTGTCATCAAAGAGGCATATTTCATGTCTAGTCTATCATAAACATGAAAGAGGTCTTCGTAAGGCTTGAGAAACTCTCCAGAATTTGCCACACTTTGGTGCACAAGATTGAACTACGCAGATGAAACACAGTCAAGTAAACAGTGACTGAACGGTTGAGCAATCCTGGATGTCAACGTCCACAGTCCTGGAATGTCCTGTTGCACAATCTTATGTTAGAAAATGTTAATATTGGAAAATGTTAATGTGTGCATGGTTTTGATTTTTCTCCTGAAATGTACTCTACAAGATGCACACACAGCAGAGCAAGAAAGCCATTACAGCACATGCGTTTCTGGTTCCATCTGCTTTTAAATTTATTCTGCAGTGTAAAAAACCACATCATCCACTGTTTTCACCATTTATATTTTGATGCTATCATAAAGTATATATACTTGGATATTTTTGAAATAATCAAGAAATGGAATGGCTTTGCCTAGACATTCTCCTGACTACAGGGAACAGCAGTCCAACTGTATCTCGCAATTTCCAATCCTAAGAATTTAGCAGGAAAACTGCTCTAATGTTTTGTATTTTACTCCTCTTTTATCTTTGTGTCTCATGCATATAACTTACAGCCATGTTGTTTATTGGAAAGAAATGTTATTAAGCCAATGCATTTTGTGAGGAAGCTCAACATTGACAATTCAAGCTTGGATAAAGGCAACTAAACACAAACTACCCATAAACATTTATAGGAAGGAAAAAGGGAAAACCAGAAAGGGAGGAAGGGAGAAGGGAAGAAAAGGATGAGAAAAGGGGAGAGAAAGGAAGAGAAAAAGGCAAATGGACAAAGGAAGTAATCAGGACTATTGACCTTTAAGTTTTTAAAATATTACTCAGGCCCTGTAGCTGCACAATTCTCATTAAATTCAATGGGAATAATCTAGGCAAATCCCTTCTTGACTCTTAAAAATAGCAGGAAACAATATTCTGAACTTTTAACGAATTTATAGCCCCTGTGAGCGAGCACCAGCTGTACTTCTTGAGGCCATCTTGACCACAGTTGAATCATTCGTGCCATGTATGTGCATGGACTGAATTTTTAAATCTGATAGTCAAAGTTCTATTGTGTATATTTACTGCTGACTCACAGAGTAGTGTTTCTGTTCAAACATGTGGGGTTGCTAAGGCCCACACAATTATGGGTTACAAACACCAGGAGTGACGACAGGGATGTTGGAAGACCCTGGGAGGGAAAGAGGACCCCCAGAGAGATCTGGATTAAGAATCCAAGGTTCTCATCAATTTCTGGCTTTTGTTCATCTTAGTACAGTATGTGAATATTATATACCCAGTGAGTTTGTTATGCTGATAAAAATCCTCAGAATGAAATCTCAAGACTCTTCTTGAGTCTATAATGGTTGCAGCAAAACTGAATTATGTTGAGCATTTAGGGGTCTGACTTGTGAAGATGCCCAGAGATGCTCATGGAGCAGCATGGACCAAAGCATCAGTTAGATGAACTGCACCATAGGGGGACACTTCGGACTCAGGCAGCCAGAGATGGACCAGGGCCTCAAAGCAGCCTCAGGTCCTTGTGAAGCCTGAACATTGGCTTGGCCAAAAGGTGACAATGAGCTGAAGTCCTCCAGAGAAGGTCGCACAGTCCATTACCCACCAGTGGAGACTTGGAGACCAGAGGTGGAGCTCAGGCAAGGGAAAGGCGGGAACCCAAATTCCTGGTTCTGCTCAGAGTGAGGTAGCGATCCGTCTCACAGGTCTGTGCTTTGCACACTTGCCCTCTGACCACGGTGGACCCTGTGAGAGGACAGCTGGCCCTGGAGCTCCTCCCTGAATTCATCTCATGACTGACATGGATGCCTAAACTCAACTACCAAACAAACAAGTTTAGGAATCTGATGGAATGCTCCATTTTCTCCACAGCTGATACTCACTTTCATTGATTTTAAATAATCCCTAGCTCTTTTAATAAGCAAGGAGATGAAACAAATGAACTGGCGACTTCATGGTGGCTTTAATTACCTCTCTGGCAAGAGAAGGAACTAAAACAACAGTTAAAACACGTGTGACATCATAGAACTTCGGTCGTTCACCTCACCTGCCTTGCCAACCTTAGAGGGTCCCAGACAGCCAACTGGAAGCTGCTAGCCTTTCTCCACAGAACTGGGCCAGAGGCCTGACCTGCCTCAGGAGAGGCAGGAGGCAGGCAGCAGCCACGGTTTCTCTCCTGAGGTAGCTTCAGCCATCAGGGGCCCACCTTGGGGCTTGAATAGAACTGTGTAGGATCACAGTGTTGGCGATTTAGGCGATTATTGTTCTGATTCACCTTCTGCCATCTGGGATGTGTGGCAGTGGGAATTCTGTTAACCTCAGGGAACAAGTTAAGTTCAATGGAAAGAGAAGTTTGTTTGGTAGTTGAGTCAGGCCAACGGTGACAGCCTCCTTTAAGGAAGCATGCTAATTAGAGCAGTCCTTTCGACTGTGTGCCTAGCCAGGTAGTGTCACACTGCTGAGGAAATACTGACACACACCATTAACAAGTGACTGAGGAGACCAATGCTGAATGAGCCTCAATAGAGGAAGTGGAAGAAGCCGGGACGCTGACCTGTTCACCTCGCTCTAATGACTGACTTTAAAGTCTTTAAAAGCTCTGATTGCTTACACTGACTGTTTCCCTTCATGCATGCCTGTGAGGAAGAATGTCACAGAATACTAACAAAAAACAAAGGAGACCGCAAGGAAGGCCGCTGCTGAACCGCCCTGGCCTCTGATAAACAGCACCGGGAGGGCCTTCAAGGTCCATATGCTTCTCTATTAATAAAAGGACAGGGGGACTGTTCCCCAGGGTGCCGCTCTCCCCAGTCACAAACCCTGGCTTCCTGAACCCCATTTTGTGGCATGTCCATGGCAGACGCTATTGTAAAACTGCCAACTCCGTGGCAGGCAGAACTGACAAACTTTGCGTGTCTCGGTTTTGCAGAATTGTGATGAAAATAAATAGTCAGGCTGCCGCTTGTGAGATTTCCTTCCCCTATAAGTTTGCAAACACAGCCCGTGTCCTAGATGTGCTTCGTTTAAACAAAGTATGTTACTCAGCTCCTTCGGTGGAAAGCTGGGATTGTCACCATTTGGCAATTACTGATGGGGAAGGAGTCTTTGCTGCCTGCTGCATGTACATGTGGACGAGAGGAAAGAATATTTATGGCTCATGCTTGGAGACCAGATGCCGCTGCATGGCATCTCTCCTTCCAGGACTTTCAGGGAAACGGAAACCCCCAAACACGGCAATGTACTACTGGGGGGGGGGTTGAGAGTGGTTTACGGATCTACTACATTTTAATTTTATTGGTACCTGATTGTATTGTGCTGTCTATTACCGTTGGCTTTTCTGTGGTCAGCACAGTGGTACCCCCTGAAAAACAAAAGCAGTAACAGAAAAATAAAAAAATGGAAGACAATTTTCTATCATGTGCTGTGCTGTTCTATGCTATATTGGTTATTATCCACACATGCTCACATCTATCTGTGGTATGCATACATATTTTTATTACATGTCTTTCTATTGCTTCCATAAGAGGCAAACATTTCCCATAGAAAAGCCTTCCTTTAATTCCATCTCCAGTATTGGTTTACTGAAATTTTGCCCATCATAAATCAAATAACTCTCCTTCAGATTTAAATAACATTGCTTTTTATGTAACACGCTTGTCTTTTTTTTTTGGTACCGGGGATCGAACTCTGGACCTTGCGCTTGCAAGGCAGGCGCCAGAACCACTGAGCTAAATCCCTGGCCTTACACACTCGTCTTTTTCAAAAAAAAATTTAAAAATCAAGAAATAAACATTGTCTATACATATAATGTACTACAGTTTATATGTATAATATACTTACACACAGTGTGCAGTGGTTAAATCATGCTAATTAACATAAGCATTACCTCACATACTTAGCTTTTTTTGGTGGTGAGAACACATAAAATCTACTCTCTTAGCAATTTTCAAGTATGCAATAAATCCTAATGCATTTCTTTATGAAGCATCTGGAAGGCACACCGAGCTGGAGACTCGGTTCCAGCAACCCTCACGGATTCCCAAACCCAGCACGGTGCACCACAATAGCAGGGGAAGGCAGGGGCGGCCTCTGTTTGTCCTTGGGGACTTGGGTATTAAACTTGACCTGCAGTTCTAAGCTTCACAGTTTCCTCGGTTTTAGATGTGAGCCTTCAGGAGAAGTTGCAGGGCCCATCCTCACAATCTATTTGAAAACTGAAAGCTTAAAGTGGATGGCAGTGGTTTCTCCTTTTTTTCCCCTTTCTCCTGCTATAGCTGTTTATTTTTCCCAAGGACAAGAAGTCTACCCAGTATGTGGTTTGGAGAAGTGGAGGGAGGCAGCGCAAAAAGAAAAGGCTAAATGTTTCCTCTCACTCACAAGGAACTCAAAGGCTGCGCAAATATTCCCTGAATATTGTGAGCTTTCAGTTTGGGACTTCTTTGGAATTCCTGGTCAGGGGCCAGGATGTCACCTTATTGAGACTTAGTTTATCTTCTCTTCCCCATATCTTAACGCTTCCATTTTCCACTCATTGTCATTATACTGTTTTATTACAATTAGTAGTGCATATTAACTGCACAAAAGAATGGGTTTCACTGTGGCACTTCCACACATGTATAGGGTGTGCTTTGATCATGTCTGCCCTCCCTCCAACCCTTTTCTTTCCTGACCACTCGCTCGATGTTTCTGTTCTAAAGCAGCATTGTCAGACTTGCCCCAAATCACCGTGAGTGCTTGCTGAAATTGCAGGTTCCTCTTCACCTACCCTTCCTAGATCTAACTCGGAATCAGAAGGCTTTGAGATCAATATTTTTTGAAGCTTCTCGAATGAGGTTTATAATCCACCAAATTTGGTAAACAGCGGTTTGCTCTTTATTACTTGGGTGTTAAGGAAGCCATTTGTTCTTCAGTGTATGTGCCATGCAGACTAGGCTGCAGGCGATCTTCCTTCATCCCCAGAGATAAGGGAGTGGGCCAAGTCAAGGGGAGGCATGAGGTGGGCCCAAGGCTTAGGATGGGAAGTCTCAGAGATAGTTAAGAGGTGTAGCAGTCATGTAGCTTCTACCAGTACCATTCAGTAAAGATTTGTGATGTTCTTTATTCAGGCCAGGCCTATCCTACAGCTCCTACAGATCAGAAATCAGTTATATAAATCAATCATGAATCAAAGAGCTATAAAATCGTGCTCTTGGAATGGTCTTAGGATTTCTGAGCTAACCACCTGCAGCACCAAGTCTTGTTACCCTGGCTCTCCCAGTGAATATGCTGGTGAGTGGTCGCATGTGTGCATGGCCTCAAAAAGGCAGGCATCGAAGAAGGAATTATATATATTATGGGTTAAAAAGGTGAATCTATAATGGCAGAATTGGAGGATAGCCAGAATACATTAGCGTTCGGTTCCCTGTAGTCTTAAAGGAGAAAGATTCAAGGTGAAAATTCACCTTTTATAACAGATATGCAGTATCAGTTTTGTTATAGGTTGGGAGCCAAATTCCACTGTTGGGTACACATGGCTCCAATGTGAAATTTGGCCTCGTGGTGCCTTTGAAGTCGACAGCATTATCTAATGACTTCAAAGGCATTTGCAAATGAGTAACTTCAGTGGTGAATTTTCAGCTTGGCAAGAAAGCAGGAGAAAGCAAACTCCTCATTTTCATGCATTGGGTACAGGTCACTCAGAATTCAATGTTGTTTGTTAGTCATGAGCACTTTGCTAGAGTATTTCTCCTCCTCTGTATACAAATAGGTCACCCCAAGAAAAGAAATTAATAGACACCATCCATGTTAAGGAGCTAAACACTGAGAGAACACTGATCTCCATTTGTGAATTCCCTTCCATCAGGGTTGAGTGAGAATGCTCACGGCTTGGTTTTATTACACTGAACATCCCAAGTTTAGTTCTGATGGTAAACCCTGTGACAACTAACAAAAAAGGTGCAGAGAAGTGCCCAGGTACAGGAGGCGTGTGTTTCAGATGTAAAACTACACTTGGGTTAGGTGAGGTAGGCCTTGGCTCTTCACACCAGGGCCTTTTCCAAAAAAGACCGCCACACAGAAAAACAAAATATATATGTTTTAAATTTAGAAGGAAAAATTGACCTTAGTATAATAAATGAATACAAAGCATGCGAATGTCTTTTAAAATCACCTCTCCTGATGGGCCCATGGGGTGGGCATCATTGACACCCTCAGAGGTGCATGTTTTGGAGAATTGTTGGGACAAACGCGCTAGCCTGAAAAAATAACATTTTTCCCCCCATGGTAATACATAGAAAAAGATTAGAATGAAGTTTTTCTCTCTACTCAAGAAATAGCTTTAAACAGCGTAGGGGAAACAAAACCTTGTACTTTTAAAGGAATGTCGGTGTTCGCACTATAAATGACCCACTTTCTGCGGCTTGTGACTTGAAATGCACATATTTGCTCCGGGCTAACAGACTTGCTCTGTTTCATTCCCTTTCAATTGATTGAGTCATGAACTAGTGCGGAAACTGAGAAGGTTGTTTGTTCTGATTCGAGGAGTAACCCTGATGCTTTGTTTCCAATCAGTATTGACTGACCACTATAGCTTAGGGTTCATGAAGAAAGAATCCCTTTAGAGAGGGCAATTGAAAGGGGTGCGCTGTATTCCAGCGATTTAGCTCTCTTTTTCATGGGGAATTTCCCCACAAGTCTGTGACAGCGGCCACAAAATCCTGAGGTTCATGGTAGAGTGTTTACAGGCAATGGCCAGCAGGTTCTGGAGGAATTGGCCGGGGCCCTGGTAATGTTTTTCACATCAGCTGCAGGGCTTCCAACTTGAACCTGACATCTCACACAGAAAACGCCTCTTCATTAATTACAGTGATTTTTGTGTCTTGTGGCTCCTTATAGGTCGTCCACAGCGAAGTACCATTCATTGGTTATGTGGATGTAACGGATTATCCCAGAAATTTGGAGGAAGGTAGCTTTGGCAGGTAGGGTTCCGGTGTAAACCTAGTTCATAGGACAGAATTTCTGGGCTGGATTTTTCTTACCCTGGACTCCATCTCAGAATGCAGAGCTCTCTTTCTCCTTCAGAGGAGAGCATGTGAAGTCACTGGAAATGAAACTTTTAGATTTCCTTTTAGATTTTGCGCCAACACTTTGCCAATAACGTGGCTCTATTATGAAGTTACAAGGTAACACCTTCAGTTTTGCCCGTGGAAATTAATTATGTGGGCTCTCTGAGCCCCTTCTGGGTAAAAAACAAAGACCTGCATTCAAGGGCTCAGGTTTTCTCTAAAATGAGAGTCAGATGCTTATGAAACTTCATTTTGACCTAGGTAGCGCTGAAGGTCCTGCCATACATTTTGCAACAATAGGGTGAAAATCCTGGTACCTTGGCCGATTTCCAAATGGTGCAATCCCATTCCAATCCCCCACTTACCTAATCTGCCTCCCCAGTATTTCTTTCATTCCAAGAGAAAGAGAAGGTCACTTTCTAGCTCATAGGGTTTGAGAAGACTTGGGAGTAACATCAGATTAATTAGGCAACATTTAGCACAAACCACCTCTGTATATTGGTTACTTGGTGCTGATGTGAAGCAACTCGGTCATCCTTTGTAAATTGTAATGTAAAATGATTTACGAGATTCCCAACTCTGAAGTCGCATTTCAAATGTAAGCCTAATTCAGTCAATTAGTTGGATAAAGGCTTCTCTCAAAAAATTTTATCCTCATTAGGAAAAGAAAATGCAGTGCGTGGTTATGAATGCGCAGTGCACATGTTAGGGGGGAGGGTTTCTGAGATGGGGATCAGCTGAGCACATGCAGCCTTGGAGAAATCCTCATTTAATTAAGACAACCCCAGCCTTGGGGTCCGAAGGGGGTCAAACTTGTTTCAAATGGCTGTGGCTATGGAGAGCAGTTTGTTCACACGGATGGCGTGAGGAAATGAAGACGCATGCGTGGTGGCAAAGCTGCTGCTATCCCTGGACAGCTTTGCCACCACCCTGCTGCCCTCAGTGAGGGCTCAACCACGACATGGACTGAAATGGCACAGCAATGGGATGTAGATGGCTTCTGCACCTGTGAGCTGGAAGTCATCACCTGTTCCGCTGTGGCAGTTGGTCTGGTCGTCGTCACATTCGTCCACTGGGTTCCCGTTGGGAGTGGTCGGTCCAGCTGTTGGCGCTGAAACGAGATCCAAGGATTACTACCTCACACCTCCGAAATGTGTTGAACCTGCTAACGCTTTTGCAGAAAACTCTAATCTGTGGGAAGAAGGCCAGGGGCATGCTTTGCCTCTACTTCAGGAGGCTACACATACTTGAATTTTGCAGAATGCATCAGAGACTATCTTGCTTTGGTATTTGATCCATATCTGCTGAGTAGATTTGGCTGCCTTAGCATTTTATACATTGTTATCTAGCAAGCCTTCTTTTTCTGAAAAGCTCTCAAATTCTCACTGGCTATTTATTCACGACCCTGGAGTCGAGAATTTTGGTGATACAGATTTTGCTTGAACTGTTTTTCATTTCATTTTCAAGGTGTTGGAAGATTCACTCATCACGCATTCTTCTGTATTCTCGGGATTGACTGAGTTTGCTAAATTTATATTATCATTTATTCCCCAAAAGGAAGCATCAACATTCACACTTAGACCCATATTGTTGTTGCTGTTTTTTAAAGAAGTGTTATTGCATTTCTCTATAAGTAGCTTCTTGACGTGGGAGCCCTCCTGTGAGAGAAGGTGTGTGAGAAGGCTGACTGAATTCCCAGGTCCTATTTCCTGGACATTCCTGGGATTGCATTCCCCTGTTGGCAGGTACCCTCCTATCTATGCATGTGAGGTTGAAAGGTAGCCAACAGTAATCAAAGACTGCTTTTGAAGTCTTTTACCTTTAGTTCAGTCTATTTTTTTCAGCCTGGTACTCATTTTTGCAATCTGTTTAATATTTTACAGTTCTCCGCATTGCATTTCATTTTTTCTGAGATAAAGCGCAGGTCCCTTGATGTTGAGAAGCATACATGATTCGGGGAGCTGGGGGTGAGGGGGGAGCTCTTCTCTTACAGCTTTTGGCCAGTAGGAATGTTCTCAGACAGAACTTGACACTGTTTACTACTATGCTTAAGGACTGAGCAAAGTTATAAAAAATGTAGAAACGTAGTTGAGTGTCAACTTCTTCAGCTACCTGAACTGATATGCCAATAAATAATAACTAGTAATCTTCATGTACAGACAGACAACCTACAGAGCGTTTGGGCATGCAATCCAGACTTTGTAACATACACAGATTCTGGGATCTATGCATTGCTGCCTTTGGATCAATAGAACTCTCTCTGGCAATCCACACAGTTGTCTTTCCTAAGCTGTCTTTGTCTTTAAGTGTTTTAAACTCTCTATCTTTGCTGATTTTTCTGGATTCCTAATGATGTCGATAAAGAAGTTCCACATTAGAAGTGGTCCAGGGCAGTGCTTAGAGTAAACTGCAAAAAGGAGTAAGAGAATGATTTCTATGCTCCAACTTTCCTCTTTGAAAATATATAGTCTGTGATTCTGTTTCTTTTTGAAGGTTTTCCTTTAAACTTTTTTATTTGTATACGTGTGTGATACATAATGCATGCATTCATCATGGGATGCTGATACATATACTCATCACATCTCTGTTTCTTAAATATAAAAGCTAGCCCCAAATAGCACAAACTCTCACCGAAGGCCTGCTGGGACCCCATCTTTTCTCTGTGTCCCTTCAGATGTCTCTGGTAGAACAAGGCACAAAGTGGATATTCAATAAGGCCTGTTAACCAGTTTGATGGAGAAGAAAAATTTTCCTTTTCACTAATTGTACTAAAAAGCTTTGACATTACTTTCTCAGAGGTTGATTTTTCTCCTGGCTGGGGCCAACTTCCTCACTTTTGTGAGCACTTGCAAACATCTGCAGGCAGATCCCTTCACCAACAGTTCCGGCCTCCACTCACTCTCGAGTTGACACTGGCAACCTGCCACAGGCCTCAGTGTTTTCAACCGTCCACTCACTGCACCTCCTAAATCAACGTTGCCTCCCAGAAGGGGACCAGGACACCTGCCTCAGGCAGCAGGGGCCTTTCCCAGGCCACATTTCTCAGTGCTCCGGATGAAAAGACCGTGCCTGCAGTTGGCTCTGCCCCACTCTTCTTTGTTTTGGCATCTTTACCAACACCCTGGCACACGGTTGCTCTTGGTTTGTGTTGCTGGCAACTGCATTCAGAGGTCTAGAACATGGCTCGAGATTTGAAAGAGCCACCCAACAAAAAAATGGGAGAAAATGGCCTGGTGGGAATTAAACACACCGAGAAGTAGCTGTGAATTATTCAGCACTATGCTGATTGATAGCTTAAGATCCTGTATTGCATGTGAAAAGTTTTATGACATTTAATGTGCTCAGAAATGTAATTATGTTTGGGTAGCTCAAAATACAGGTAATTTAAAAACCCTAGAAGGTGATATTAAAAAGCATTCTTTGAAACAACTGTGAGCATGTGCTCAACTGATTAACATCTTAGTACCAACAATAGCCATTCTGCGAGCTCATCTGGAGAAAGACCTCTACGGGGGTAGAAAAGCTGGTGTACGGTTACTCATTTATGCCCAAATCTAAGGCAGATGGGAATTCTAATGCACAGAAACAGTAAATGGTAAGATGACCAAATCCAAACATTCATCTCATTCATTATATGTTACAAGAGAGCGCAGGCCCAAGGTCAGCATGCGCGTGAATTTGTCCTTGATATGACCTTCATCTGATAATCTGAGTGTAGGCAATAACATCATTAAAGAGACCTCACTATGCTTTCATGCACATTATCTCATGAAAAGCTTTGTTTCTTCACAGCAATCTAAGAAATTCACCCAAATATGTCTCCATGTCTTACTGTGTGCATCACATGCAGCTTCCTGCTCGTGTGTTATGAAGTTGACACGGAAGGCAGAAACTTGGATCTGACACAGAACTCTAAACAATATTTAAAAAGCCAAAGGAACTGGTGGTTTCCAGGGGCCAGGGGAGGGGAAGTGGGAGAGAAGCTGGGGAAGAGGTTTTACCTTGGAGTCATGGCAATGTTTTGGGAATTGAAAAAGAAGTGGTTGTACAACTTAACTGTAGAATACACTGAATGCCCTGGAGGTGTGCATTTTAAAATGGTGGATTTTGTGTTGTGTGACTTTCACCTCAATAAATTATTATTATTATTTGTTTGTTTGTTTGTTTTGGTACCGGGGATCAAACTCGGGCCCTTCCGCTTGCGAGGCGGGCGGTGGAACCACCGAGCTAAATCCCCGGCAATAAATTATTTTTTTAAAAGTCAAGAGAGACAATCCCACAGAATCTAAAAAGAGTGGTGCAAACAGCTAAGGCAAAAACAGGATTCCGAAGGTGCTGTTTTGGGCTCGCTAGGACCCCGAGCCTGACCCTAGAGGACAGACGGCAGTAGGCAAGAGCTTCTATCCTCGGAGACAGAAATGCTTGAAAATGGAAATACAGGAGGAGGAAAGCAGGAGGGCTCCAGGAATTGGAATTACCTTCCACATCACAGCCCAGCAGCTCCATCCGTAGGCCCAGGCCGCCGTGAGTGGCCCTCTCGGGGTAGATCCGGATGAATCGCGTGGAAATAGGTGGAAAAGTCCGTAGCTCAGGTGTATCGTAATTGTTGTTGCCCTCAAAAGACTGTGAAGTGCAAAGAACACCAATTATTAAGAAAAAATTATGACCTCCCTTTTCGATGGCTGTTTCTTCCCTCTGGAGGGGCATGAACAACTTCTCCTCCAGCTTCTCTAGGTCCAGTAATGGAGGCTGCGAAGAAAACTGACAGTAGACAGATTAGCAGGAGAAAAGGTGAACCGGCTTACTACCTGCACAGAGGGAGGATATGGAAGAACTCCGTCACTGCACAGTAAGGTCAAAAGCTCAGACATCCTCTTCATCAGGGAGTGGGGAGGCGAAGTGGTATGGCAGCCCACGGGAGGGCAGGTGATTTCTGCGAAGTCAAATGGGCCCTAAGAACTGGTGACAGCTGGTGATGGGTCCCTCTGGCCCGGGTGTCCACCCTCAGGCTGTGAAATGACCTTAGTCTTCCCTGGTGGAGGAGACCCTGGGATACTGTGCCTGACAAATGAGTTCCTTTGGGAAGATCCCCCTTAGGCAGATCAGGGAGGCTCGGAGAAAGCCCTTCCCATCACTTCCTGTCCCCTAAGTGCTCGGACGTGAAGTCCCAGTGGGCATATTTGGAGTGGCATTTCCTGAACTCCTTCAGGACTCTTAATAGGGCAGAAAAACCAGCCTTGTTCCACCATTTCCTAAATGGCTGGCATTTCTTTCATAAATGAGAAAGGAAGCAACCAACTTTCGGTAAGAAGTGACAGATGTCATGTCTCAGCAACCTTGCTGTACACGCTGAACCTACACCAGAGGCTGAGGATTTAATGAGATGTTTTTCAATGATATGCTGATATGCCTTGGAGAGGTGATGCTTTTATCACTTCCTCGAGGTGGAAGAAGATAACTCAGGAAGCAAACTTGCCATTTTTCAGAGCTTATAATAGTTACCACATTTTCAGTAAATACTCCAGTTAGGCCCTCTGAAATGAGAGGGTCCTAGCTTTGCTCAAACTTGGTCCTTTGAAAAGAAATTAAATTTTAGACATGGGAGAGAGTAATTACCATTTTATTCAATGCTAGGGAGGTAACACAGGGCTTTGCCCATAATAAGCAAACACGCTACCACCGAGCTATACTCTCGGCCCAGGAACAGTACATTTTATTTAGTACAAGTGCTGTTCATTCAAAACTAGGGCTACCCCAACCCTTTGAAATTACTGTTAGTTTAAGAAGTGTCACTAACGGGTCATTTAGAGATAAAAGACCTTCTCATCTAAGGAAAGCAATAAGGGTCCTGACTACTAAGTGATGTTCTGAATACCGGTATGACTGATGTACACCTTGGCACTCTTTTGAAGCCATTGTGACACTTTGCAGGTGCCAGGCCACCCACTGCCAGCACCACCACCAGATTATTTTATTTCCTGTGTTACAGTGGCAGAAAGATCAAAATCACTCAGTGGAATAACAGGAAAACAGAGCAATGAGTAAGTCTGTTTTCTTTTTCAAGAAGTGAGTAAGTCTCCACATAGTCTCTTCCTCAACATCAGTCTTAATTTGATTGAGAAAGAAAGGGGGAAGAGGGCTTAAAAAAATAAAATGGCCTCATAGTCGGGAATGCCTGTTTACATACCAAATATGGTATATGTTTAGGCACAGTGTAAGGCACTGTTTTCAGTGCTTAAATGAAATTAACTCATGTAATCCTCAAAGCAGCTTTACGAGGCCAATTCTGTATCACCTAACTTTTACAGAGGAGGAAACTGAGGCACATAGCAGTTGAGGACTTTGTCCAAGGCTGTAGTTCATACAGTAAGGAGCAGAGCCAGGATTCCAGCCTAGCCAGTCTTAGCTGGCACTCCTGACCACATCAGTAAGATTCCTCTGCTCTTAGGCATCTTGCCTACTAGGGCTGGGGGTGTAGACCAGTGTAGCTCAATGTAGCTCAGTGTAGAGTGCTTGCCTAGCATATGCGTGACCTTGGGTTTGATCCCCAGCACTGAAAAGAAATTATTTTGAGAGGGCTTCCTGATATGTTGCCAAGGCTGGTCTTGAACTCTTAGGCTCAAATGCTCCTCCCTCCTCGGTCACCATGTAGCCGGGACTACTAGCACATGTCACTGTGCCCAGGTTCTAGTCTCTTTGTTTTAATAGATGAGAGCTCTGAGGTCCATGAAGTGTTTATGCCTAAGGAAACACATTTAGTGTCATTAATTTGTCTTTAACTTGGTGCAAATTGGCTGCTAGGACTGGTTGACCAGATGGAGCTGCCCGCCAGCTGTGATCACGCTGGTTATCGGAGGGATCATGCCCAATGGCTGGGTCAAATCACAAAGTTGCCAAAGATGTGATTGTTCAGTGGTGGAAATGTCCCAGCAGAGTAGGAGACATGTGTAAATGAAGATTAACAGATTGCATAGTCCGTGACAAATCAAGGGGTTTTCTGAGTTCTAGAAGTAAATTAATTGGCTTTTTTCCACTCAGAAAAGCCACTTGTAATATGAAAACAGAACTGCCTCTTGCAATTAGTTTTCTTCTGTTTTTTAAAAGAGTAAATTCACAATCAGGGTCCTGCACTCTTAATAGAGTTGCAATCGCTGCTGCTATTGAGAATCTGACATATATTACTGTTAGGCCCAATTAAGTTGTTGTCAGTACAGTGCTAATTATAATGAAAATAACATCACTTACCACGCGAGTCCTCTCTAGTTCACATAGTTCCAGAGATAAGAGGAGAAAAGCACTGATATCTACGGAAGCCCAGGCTCCTCTCTTAATTTTAACTTGAAGAAAGAATCAGCACAATGGAACTTCATTATAAAAGCTGTCAGTGGTGAGCTGAGAAGAGTATTAGCGATCAAAACCCAAGTGGGCCTTGGGTAAGTTTGAGAACAGGAACTTGCTCAGGAATTGTCTTTGTGTTCTGTGACTAATCATGTCTTAGACAGAAGGAAGGGCCGTGATTGAATGCTATCTGTTCCTGAAATGTGGAGTTAATTCAAAGACTCTGATACACCTTGTCCACCAAGCCATGTCTGTGCGTGGAGTGAAGGAAGGAGAGAGAGGATTTAAAAACCATCTAAGCTCTGTTTTGTTTTCCCAAACTGGCTACTCATTTCCGTTTTACATTAAAGGTACTTGGCATTCTGAGCAGGTAACCTTCATTTGTACAATTAAATACAACAAGTTTTAAGTATCTTCATGTAAAATATATGCTGCTCTGAATTTGAAAGTTTTACCAATTTCCCTTTTCATTTGGAGATTTTATTTCAGTGGAAGGGCATGTTAGGAATAATAGATAATCTCGAATCAGAATCTAGATAAACAATTTGGAAGTTTTCATGGTTTTAAATACCACAGGAACATGATAGCAATGGATATTTTAGGAATGAAATCCAACAATAAAAGTCAAGCAATCTTGAGTATTTTGTTAAAGTTAAAACACGTGCGTTGGCTTCTCATGGGATTCTGTACTCGATTTACTACCCGAGAGTGACAGCATTATACTGGATGGCAGCCGCATGGATTAGATAACAAAGACAGGAAGCATTCGATGAGTCCTATCGAAAGCATATGGTGATTTGTTTTCTTTCTCTCTCAGAACTGAGTGTTCAAGAACGTGTCACAACAGCATACCCTGCCATTGACAGCAGCCCAGAAGTTGCTGATGTGCAACATATTCAAGCTTTCTGATGAAGTCACGAGTCTCCTGATCCTCAGAAGAGACCAGCTCATAGGAAATTACAGTTTCTGGTGACTATTTTATGTTTTCTTTCACCAAGATGAGAGGGATGGACATAAAAGGAGAAAGGGAAATGAACACAAGAAAGAATGTAGCTGCATATGCAAGTGTTGATAGAAACATATGGTGAATGCTTAAGTTAAAAAAAACTTATTACAATAACAGACATGTTACCAAGAAATATGAGATAAGTGTGGTCAATGCAAGGGGGGAGTATTTTGAGGGAAATTAATGGCAATGTGTCACTGCAATAATGTTTAAAATGTAAACATTCACTGCATTTTTGATCATCCCATTGGTCAACTGTTTACAGCAATTTCTGTCAAATAAAAACTTTACAGTGTCCTCATCTACCTTATCCACCCGATCTGGCACTGTGCAACTTCTGGCTCTTCCCCAGCGTCCAAATGACCATGAAAGGTGACTGTTTTGAACTGACTCAAGACCTTGAGGCACCCAGGACAGCACAACGAAAGACACTCAGGAAAGAGGACTTCCAGAACTGCTTCAGAAAGTGTCAAGAAGGATGGGATAAGTGTGTTTGAAACGAGAGAGAGTATCTTGAGGAGGATTCATGGCAGTGTGTCTTTTACTGTAATGACTTTTTTCTGTATGTTTTGAACATGTCACGTAGGTATATGTAACTCTGAAGATATTCCAGAAACCACAAGTTACCAGAGGGAAACAAGGGAGAAGTTTTCCCATTGTGACAGAATGGGTTCTGCTGGTGTCCGGCAGCTATGGGGCTGACCTGTGGCCCGTGGGAGCTGGGGTGGTCTCCTCAGAGCCCCCGAGTCCGAAAGAGTGGGAGCTGGCTGTGTCAGTCATATTATATTTCCTGCCTGCAAAGCCTTTGGCCCGGGTGACTGAGCCACATCCCCACACTCCATGGAGCGGGGAGGTTAATCTTTTCTCCAAGGAGTTAAAACTTTCTTCTTTTACAGGACCAGGTCCTGGGCAAGGCATGGATGGACAGGCTGAGGCCACGAGTCCACTGGTGTTGGTGTGAGAAGTAACATCAGCCAAACCCAATTCCCACATGGCAGATGGAACTTAGAATGCTTAAAATGTCTGTGGGCCGATCCATCTTTTAATTCTAAACCAGCTTCCGGGCCACTCAGCAGACTTCTGGGGGTCCTTTCCAAGTTGGTGCTTTGTGCTCAGGAAGTATAAATAAACATAACCATCAGCCTAAATAAGACTTAATTAGCAAAGCACATATGTTCGGTCAAAATTATTCCACATGTTTTTGTGCATGTTGAAATATTTTTATATTGAGATTCCCTTCTCTTCTTGCTGCATTATCAAGAGCCAAAAGTATCTTAAAAGGTTCCAGATGCATAAGGAATATTCTTCAGTAATAGTCACAATAACTAAAAGATGGAAGCATTCAAGTGTGAATCAATGGATGAATGCATAAACCAAATATGGCATATACATATGATGGAATATTATTTAACCTTAAAAAAGGAATAAAATACTAACACATGCTACAACACGGATGAACCTTGAGGATATTGTTGAGTGAAATAAGCCACTCAGAAAAGGACACATACTGTATGTTCATTTATATGAGGTTTCTAGAACAGTCTGGTTTCATAAAGAAAGTGGAATGGCAGTTGCCAGGGACTGGGGAGAAGGGGAACAGTGAGTAATAGAGGGAATGGAGTTTCACTTTTGCAAGGTGAGAAAGTTCTGGAGACTCCACAACATTATGAATACACTTGACACGACTGAAATGGAAACTTGAAAAGGTTAAGATGGTCAAGTTTATATTATGTATATTTTATCACAATTAAAAATGAAAAAAAATACCCAAACTAGTTGGGGTTGTAGCTCAATGGTAGGGTGTTTGCCTTGCATGCCCAAGGCCCGGAGTTCAATCCCTAGAACCTCAAAAAAGAAGGAAGGAAGGGAGAGAAAATATTTAAACCAGGGGTGGAAGAGAGAGGCGGAAAAGGGACCCCAACCTGCAGCATGGAGCTTGAAGAAAGGCCCTGCAGGTTTGATGCATCACCTCCTGAGCCCTGTGTGGCCCATCTGCGTCCCAGCTCCAGCCGTCTGTCCTCCCGCAGCCAGGGGAGGGGGACAGCGACACGGCACTTTGCCCTGCTTATCTGACACCACGCTCAGTATCAGCCCCCCGTCTTCCCCAGAAGCGGGGGGCTTACATCAAAGTAAGAAGCAGCTCTTCCTAGAGAAGCACTGGTCCTGGATTGGAACCCGGGGCACCAGATGCCTCCCACGCCTGTCCCTGGCCTCACCTTGGCCTTGCGCCTGCTGTCGTCCATGATCATCTTCCAGTCGGAGCCATTGTTGCTGTACCCGACCTTGAACTTCCTCATGTACACCTTGTTCTCCCGGTGCTTCCCGCCCTGGATGATGACGCCCCTCACCATGGTCTCCTCGCCCAGGTCCACCTGCAGCCACTCGCTGGTGTACGGGTGCGGGGCGGGGGGCAGGGCCCAGCCCGAGCGGCTGCTCATCAGGCGGACGTTCTCCGGCATCCAGCTCCTGTCCCCTTGGTTGGACGCTGTGATCTGGGAGTCGGAGATAAGGCCAGACACGATGCCCAGCATTCCGGAGCACGGGTAGTCTAGCGGTGGGATGAAACAGACGAGGTGAACTTAGTTTCTGGGAGACTCCAGGCTCAGAGAGAAAATACAGTCTATTGAATAAAGACAGTGTCCTGTACCCACTCTTAGGATGTGTTCAATCTCTGGATCGTTTTACATTCAATCATTGTTCTTGCCTTCAATCTTTCTCCTACTATTTCAGAATTCCACACTGTACACGCACATCCCAGTACGCACACATTTCTCCCTCTTCTGACTCTGGCTACGTTTAGTGTCTGACTGTTGAGGGTCCGGTCTCTTTGGCATTCAGAAGTTATTCCCAGATCAAGGATAGGTGGTGGCCAAAGAAGTTCATAGCTTATGATGGGTTGGAGACATGTAAAGGACCAAGCCAAACAGCTAGAGAGATGCTAAAATGAAAGTGAAAAAGTGATGAGGAGGAGAAGATGAAGAAGGGGCAGACGGGGCGCTGCCCAGGGAGAGGCACTGGGGCTCAGTGTGGACGGACAGTGCCCATCTCCCCTCTTCTGTCCCTCCCCCCTGGCACCGGTACTTCCCACATGGACTTGCCACTGCCATCTCAGATGTACCAGGTGCAGACAGCACCAGGCTTTCCCCTCGACACTGAAGCCCTTTACTGAATCCTGCATTTCAACTATCAGTTGAATCATCTATCAGTTCCTGCCTCGCCACCTTGTCATTTCCTACTTTCCATCCTCTATTTCTGTTTTGTTATTAAATCATGTCACAGCCAGGGTGCAAAAGGATCTCTTGGTCAGGCTCCTGTACCCCAGTCCTGCATCTACACGACCCTAAAAGCCATATAACTTTGCAGGAAAGGTTGATTTTACCATGTTATTCCCATTGCTCAAAAATCTCCACTGCTGAAGAAAAAAGCTGGACACCAGAAGGACCAATATTGGATGGCACCACTGCTATGAGTTTTCTAGGGTAGATAGCAAAACAGAAAGTAGAATGAATGGCCACCTCGGCGCAGGGACTGGGGAGAGGAGAATAGGGAGCCAGGGTTGGCTGGGAGCAGAGTCTCAGTTTAGGGAGGTGAAAGGCCCTGGAGCTGGAGAATGATGACAGCTGCACTGCGGTGTGACCGTACTGCATGGAACTGCATTGTCTATCCCCACTGGCTGAAGCGCTAACCTTCATGTCATGTATATTTTACAACAATAAGAAAGTGACACAGGTTTTAAAAACATCTGATTTTGGGGGGAATATGAAAACTATCAGGGTTTCAAGATATTCACTGTGGTGTCACCTCACTTATCTAATCGATGGAATTACTGACAATGTATTCCAGCTAACAGACTCTCTTCTCATGCAACCACGGATACGGTATAATACGCACATTACTTTGGCTCCAAGTGTTCCTGCCACTCTCTTTCTCCTTTCGCTCCAAACTTTATGACCAAGCTCAAGGCTCATCAGGAAAACTTTTCACACTGCTCTAGTCCTTTCCCAGAGCTATTACAGTAGATACAGTCAATAGCTAAGCTCAGCATCCAACTATTGTGTACATATTTTTAGACTGTTGGTCTCATGTCCACAGCTAGATTTTATGATTCTTTTTTAAAAATTAATTTTATTGGTACATTTTAGGTATACAATATAATTGACATTAAAATGTGTAACTTTATTTATTTATTTATTTTGGTACCGGAGATCGAACTCGGGTCCTTGCCCTTGTGGGGCAGGTGGCGGCACCACTGAGCTAAATCCCCAGCCCTTATAAGATTCTTAAAGGCAATGAAAACCATCATCGAACTTTTCATATGTGGTACAGCAACCTAAATAGCTCCTGAGCACACGCAGAATATCAATCATCAACTAATTGGTGGCTTAAGAGCAAAAAGTCTAACACTTCAGTTACTTTCCTTTAAAAGTGTACATCTTGATAAACGACATGCCCAAGAATGATACCCTATTTTCTCCTAAACAATTCTTCATAATCCAGTACAAGTTCAGCCTAAAAATACAATCATTCTAGAGACATCCTTCTAATGCAATTAAGCTACACTCATGGTGTCAGCTGACCTTTCAGAATTACTCAGGCACTTTCTGCCTGAGGTGTGCCTGTCAGACCAAGCCACTTCTACCTCAACTCAGGCATGTTTATCGAAGAATTAGGCATGGGAGGTTTCCACAGCACCTTACAGGGCCTCTCCCCCCTCGCCCCCATTGCTTGTGCCAATCCAGGAAGGAAGCTTCCCCTCCTTTCTTTCCCCTAAGAATTCCGCATCATTTTTGTCCTTCCGATATCTGATTGGCATAAGACCACTGACTCATTTTCAAACACCACTTCATTCATTCACTGTTCCTCTCTCTCCAACTTTGCTTTCTCTCTAACTCTTCACAGAAGTTGATCTGCCTTTCTCCCGTATTGCTGATCATATTCAGATCTGTAGATGGTTGCTCCTCCCTTCCTCATATTTTTAATTCCTCTGAGAGTGGGAACCAAGTCATATTTTTTTTATTTTCTCTGAGTCTTTGTTCCCTGTTTTATGCATCATCGTTCTCAACAAATATTTGCTGAATGAATCAACTTATTAATACAATAAAAGGCGGCTGTCATTTTCTCAAGTGCCTTTCCTGTCATTCAGCTGCACTGTTTGCTCCAGGCTGGGATCTGAAAGCCAAGAACACACTCAATGGGGATTAAAAAAAGATTTACAAAAACTATTTTACTGAGAGACTGTGAAAATATAGTGTTAAAAATAGAAGTCACATTTTTTTGGCCACTGTGGTCACACCTGATTCAAAACCAGCTTTCATAAAGGCAATGTTCAGCTGGTAATGGAGACCAGATGTTACCATTTGGAGCAAAACAGAATTAACTTGGATATTGTAAGGAAAGTAGAACCTTCAGCAGACTAATACCTGTTCTGTGCAGAGCTGGCTTGGGCACAGTTTATATCTCCACCAACCTAGTGATACCCAGCTGCCATCCAGCCAACAAATCCACGGTGCACAGTCATATCATGACATGGTCATTCCTTCCGTATGACTGCCTCACTCCACTCAGTCCCTTCCCCTCAGAAAATCCCACAACCAGAAGGCACCTTGATTTGCCTCTTTTAACAATGATTGGGGGAAAAAACTATATTAACAATTAATTCAAGTTTTAACTGGTATATTAATTTCTAACTCTTCTTCCATGGTAGGCTAGTTCAGATATGCTTGGCTGCATAAACCTTTTGGAAATAGCATTGTCAGATATAGCAAACAAACAAATAAACAACAAAACAAGAAACAAGATGCCCAACTAAATTAGAATTCAGAAAAATGACCAGAATTTTTTGGTATATCTTATGCGACATGAGGGCCATACTTCGCTAAACAATTATTGTTTGCATTAAATTCAACTGGACTTGTGTATTTTACTCAGCAACCCTATAGGGAGAGCTTAAAGTCAATCCTGGATGGAAGGGAGAAATGAATTCTGTAATGCGGGATTGAGGTGGCTCTTTCAGTGATATTATTTTATTATAAGAGCTCTACTCAGCTTTAGCAGAAAACCTGAGATATATTTGGTAAGTCAAGTATCCAGTTAACCAGTTTTCAAAGAATTAGGGAGTAATAACCATGTCACGAAGGCTCCTGAGTGAGCATAATTTGACCTTCTCATGATGACTTGGGGGATTCCTTGGCTCGGGGTGTCTGGGGTGACCATTATGGACTTTGATGGACTTAGGGGCACATGAACTTCCTCTGGAGACCAGCTAACAGACTTCTGGTTAACCCGCACTAGAGAGCAAGTTCTAGGTGTGTTTTCATCTATAAAGCCAGAACCTCCCAACAGTATTTTCATCAACTTCCTCCTTTGCGAAAAAGAGGAATTCCACTTTGCAAAATAATGAAAACATTCCTTCATCCAACACCTATAAAGCAGAGCTGTCTGCTCCAATCTCATTTCCTTTATCCCTCTCCATGGTGACATAGAATTCTATAGCCTGGATTTCCCTAAGATTGCTGTATTTCTAAAAAAAAAATTTCTGAAAGCAAAAATTTGGTTAAAATTTAGGGCTCTGGATGTGTTGGAAACCAGGTGATGTGTTCACATGGTAATTTTTAATTTGGTATAATTTTTTAAAAAAATCTTGATTGTTAGGACTTGCCTACTCGACAGGGGAGGCTGGAAATTTGAGGTCACTGATTTGTCACAAGGGATGGACAGAGTTGCAATTCATGTGTGTAGTCAGAAGCAACCACTGCATATTTGTTATGCTCCTGGCATTCGGACACCAGAGAAAAGGTGCACAAGGCCCCTGCTCTCATACACCTTTTTTCCCGGCATGGGTACGGCCACCCTGTTCTTTCATTAACCTGTAGACTGAGGGAACTGGGGCCTCAATAAAGGAGAAAATTTGGTTAACCAAGAAGAAAAAACTGATATTGTCCTATTGAAGCGCTGCTTGCTGGGCCTTATCCTGGATTCCATTTATTGAGTGTCATGTCCCACTCTATTTTTCTGGGTACACTTCAGTGAGCGTGTACTCTAAACCAGGTATGTTACAAATATTTTTTCTTTTAATCACCATCACAGCTGCATTACGGTTGATTTTAGAGATGAGGGAATGGAGACCAGAGAGGAAATATATCTTCCCACGGTCCTGGGCATCCCCACATACCTTCTGTCTGAGATTGTCACTGCAGCATGTGGCTTCTCACTTACATGGAGATTACAGTTAGGTTATTAGAGAAAAATATACTTAAAATTATATTAAATGGGCCAGGGATTTAGCTCAGTGGCACAGCAAGGTCTGCCTGGCAAGCAAGGTCCTGAGTTCAATCCCCGGTACCAAAAAAAAAAAATTATACTAAGTGACTACTACTATCAGAAATAACAAACAGAAATATCAAATGCTGATGAGGATATGGGAAAAAAGGAAGCCTTATACACTGCTGGTGGTGATGTAAATTAGTAGAGCCAGTAGAGAACAGTATGAAGATTCCTAAAAAAAAACAAAAATAGATCTACCATAGGATCCAGCCACACCACATCTGGGTATATTTCTGAAGGAAATGAAGTCAGCACATGAAAGAGATACCTGCATACTCATGTTCATTGTGGCGCTATTCACCATAACTAAGACACTGGAGCAGTCTAGCACGGATGGATGGATTAAACCATACTGCGAATATACACAGTGGAGTTTTATTCAGCCACAAAGAAGAATGAAATAATGGCGCTTTCAGGAAAATGGATAGAATCAGAGTTTATTGTGTTAACTGATAATAAGTAAACACAGAGAGATTGCATGCTTTCTCTCATACAAGGAAATTTTAAACAAAAAGACCTGGAAAGAGAGGGCAGACTTTCAGGGAAGAACGGGGCTAGCAGGATGGTATGAGAAGGTACAGGGAGAGAGGATAATAAGGGAGATGGATCAGCTCTCAGCACGGTACACACTGTACGGAAATGTCACAGGGAAACCCCTGTGTATGACTGGTAAGATTAAATAAAAAGCATATGATGGGTATGATTAAAAGAGTAGAAGTATGAGTCTAAATGCAGAATCTTATTGGAAAAAAACTTGGCTTCTTAATATAACACTAAAATAGACTATATGTGAAATATCAAAATATCCTAAGCATCTATGTTTCAATAACTAGGTCATTTAAGTGTTTTTCTTTATCCAATAAATTATTTGGCTTCTTTCCTCACATTCCTAGAATTACCTCTTGGGAAATCTTTGTCAAAATTAGAAAGGACAATTTGGGTTCAAATAAATATTTTGTTTAACTAAAAGAATATGACATAAATCTTCAAGAGGCTAGAAATTCAGAGTTCAGAGTTCAGACCAACGTGCTTGGAGTCTTTATGAAGTTTACTTCATTTTTTAAAATATAGTGATATGTGATAAAGCTGTAGAAATGGGCCAGAAATTTCCACCCAAACCTCAAGTGACCTTGTTCCTACAAATCTATGGGTAGCCTCTGAAATGTGGAATGCTCTGAAATGACCTGGAACTTTCTGTTACTTAACCACTGATCAAAAATAAAGCCAAGGTTATATCTGACTTTCAATACTTTTTTCTTCTTCCAAACCCCTTTCCACCCAGTTCCTAATTTCAAGGCCTTGAACTTTCTAAGTCATAGATTCTAAGACAATAAACAATCTGCCTCTGGAATAGAAATAAATAAATGTTTTTGTATGCAATCAGATAGGTTTTGTTTTCTCAAATGAACTCTACTGTGAACAAGTGCAGTTTTTGCTGTTTGTTAGGTTGTCTCCAAACTGCTTGTAAGTTCATGGAAAATTCCCTAGGTAATATTTTTTCCTCAAAAAGTCAATATTTTCCTTCTCTAAAAATAATCATATGAAGAGCACAAAGGTAAAAATTAAATAGCCTTAATATGTACCCAACATTATATTAAACGACAGTTCACAGAAGTTTAGAAGTTCTTCACTTCTACTTAGTGAATCAGTCTACTGATTCTTTCAACTTTTAAGCTTATTATGAAGATCACATTTGTACTGGATTTTTGATTGTTGTTGCTTTTCTAATGGAAGCTTGCAATATATTTACTTAAGTGGAAAGGAATTTGAACATGACTGCTGTTTACAGCACAATACAAAATAACTGGGCTGAAGATGTAGCTCAATGGTAGAGTGCTTAGCTAGCATGCAAGAGGCCCTAGGTTCCAGACCTAGCACTGCAAAAACAAAACAAAAAACAAAACACACAAAACAAAACAAGACAAAGTACAGTGCAATCAATGAACAAGTCAGAGCAGCACTGAGAGCCACAGAAATAGAGCCAGGATGTTCTCTGCCTTCCAGCTTTGACCTGGCCTACTTTTTCAGTCACTTTGTCTCTGAGTACATCACCTTGTTCATCTCTCAAAGGGAATAATCCATGTACTTACTCCACACTTAATGGGGACTTTTAAAGTCCTCTGGATGTTTAAAAAACAAACCTGAAATATTAGAAAAATATTCACAAGTTGATTTGAAGTGTTAGTAGAGTATATTCATTCAACAAATAAATAGATGACCCCTCAGGGAAAGTCATCTGGGTGGTTAGTGACTAAAAGGAGAAATTCTAAGTAACACTCATAACTGGAGCTGATGAGGCCCCTTCTACATTTCCATATCGATAAGAGAAAGCCAGTGGGGCAGCTATTTATTATAAATCTACTAAGGAATGATGCAAAGCACGTAACTCACCTTCACAGAGCTTCCAGCCTAGTGGAAGAAGCACCACAAATCAATGCCTACCACATGGCAGATGCATGTGCTAAATTCTTTGTATTCATTGTTCCATCCATCATCCACACAAGAAGCCTGTGTGGTATGCAGTAGTATAACTATTTTCCAGGTGAAATATCCAAGGGTTGGAAATCGAAACATATCGTCCAAAGAAACAGACTAGTGAGTAGCAAGGTAGGATTTGAATTCAGATTTGTCCAAACCCAAAGTATAGGCTCTTCACTGGCAAATAAAAGTGACCATACTAATATCAAGTTATTCTCCTTGTATTAAAGCTTTGTATTGATCTCAGTGATCACTGGCTGGCGCTTACCCGTTATCTTGCAGCCGTAGACTTCAAATCTCATGGATACACCAGTTTCCCAAGAGACAGGTCTGATTCGGATAAATCGAGTTATCAGTGGTTTGGGAAAAACTCCAAAAGCCACATCTGTGGGGTTGGTGTTTCCTTGGAAGATCTACATGGGAAAAGAGCAGACCTTTTATTAACTGATGTTTTTGTATTTAAATCAAATAAAAAATGTTTTCACAAATGCTTACAAAAATTATTCACAACTTCAGTGTGTCCATCAAGTCTGAAGCAGCGTTAACAGCTTGTCATGTTATTTTTCCAAATGATGGCAATCAGAAAGCATAGTGTCCAAAATAGAATGTTGTCCTAATCATCTATTCAGTTTTTTTGAGAGGCTACAGCCCCTAGAAGCACTGTTACAAGAATGACATTTATTAAAGGACACGTGCTATTATTGCAAAAAGTGGAAAATCATTAACTTTATCAGAGGACCTACGGAGCCCTGCAGGCATTTCATGGGCACTCTCAGCATTCCACTATCCCCGGGGCTCCTGAAGAAATGCTTTTGGAGTTCAGCATAAGGCCTGGCTTTTTAAAATTCTCAGTTTTGTTCCTGGCTGCAGTTCTAAGTTAAGCAGCATTCTCCTTTTTGAGTCTGTTCCTTGATGAAAGATCTTATCCTGGACCTGAACTAATGACTTTAATCCTTTTGGGTTCTTGGTAAATTATATTTTAGTGACCAAAGTCAAAACTGAATGATGAATGACTTTTAACTGAAAGTCAGCTTTCCCAGGGCTTCTGGTTTTAAAATGAGTCATTTTACTCTATGGAAGGCAAAGCTTATGATTGCAAAGGTAACAATGGCCAACTACAAACCAGTTTCCCACAGGGTCCATTGGGGCCACTCTGCCCGGACAGGGGCTGCAGCGGGCTGTCTCCAAGGTCTCTGATGAAGGAGACTTTGCCATCCTATGAACACCTGGCACTGGACACGCCGGGGGGAAGGGACAGCCTCTACGGGGTTCTGTGTCAGGCCTGGGTTGGGGACAGCCTGCGTGGAAGCAGCCGCTCACCCCTGTGTTGTGCTCCTCTGCATGACCCTCAGGTGGCCGAACCTGTGCCTCATGGGGCCGAGGGTGTGCAAACTCCCCATCACCCGGTGGGCATGTGAGAAGGACTGCGCTCTCCTGAAGGTCGCTCTTCCCCCAGCAGAAAGGGTTGTGAGTCTGGCTGGAGCTTTTGCTTCATTTGGTGTAAGTGGCCAAGCAACCAGAGGAGGTCAAAGGAGCAGATTGTTAGTCTGATCCGTCTTGGGATGATTCCTAGCAGAATTCATCCTCCCTGTGAGCTTTCTGTCTCGCTTGCTCCAGCATCTCTGGAAATGACCCATGGGGGAGCATTTTGTATAGCAAAGGAGGGCCAGCGGCCAGGAGGGGCAGCGGCCCCGATGTTACTGTCCTAACACCCAATGGGTCCCCGTCATCCACAGGTCAGGCAGGAGTGCTCTGCACACCTCGAGGGTGCACATTTTGCTTGCACCGAGGGAGCTCCCCATCGTGTACTGACAAGTGTGCAAGTGCACACGTTCTGTGCAGCACAGAGAGGGCAGGTGGAGGCTGCTCTCTGCGGTCCGGCCAATGCTGCAGAGGAAGCAGGAAGGACAGAGAGGACTGGCTGAGAGGCCTCGGAGTACAGAGAAAGGGAGGCGGGCAGTGATGCTGGGCTCCAGTGGGACGTTCTCAGGTCAAAGTCCTCAGATGGATGTCAGGTTCATATCTCTGCAAAACTATCCCTGTTCTTTCTGCCTCCCTCCCTGGAAGCCCTTTTGTGTGTCTGTACAGACTCCTCCAGAATCTTCAGATGCTCGAGACAGTTCCACCCGCGGAGTTACAACGGACTTCCCTAATTTCCATTAACGTGGACTGCGAGGTTTCTTCCTTCCCAGATGGTAAAACGGATTCCACACCCTCCAGGGCTGGATAGGCCTTGAACTTGCCTGTCCACAGAACCCTCCTCCAACAGGGCATTGGTCCACCTATATCTGCTTCTACCCTACTGGGCCTAAGTGACACCCTATGGGCATCCTGCTGTCAATCAATGGGAACCAATAGTTCTTCTCTCACTTAATATTCTGGGGGCTTTTCTCAGTTCCAGACCCAGAAAGAGAAAATCAAGGCCAGGAATGCTCAAAAGTCAGACAAGGAGATGTTCATTAGCTTCTTTCCAAGATCCTAATGCCATTACCTGAATCTCTGCTACTTTCCTTGTCAGTTTTCTGTGCTTGACTCTGTCTCCAGGGCAAACTTTTAATTTTAGGGAAACAGTGAAGATGAACTCTCAAAAATCTTTTGATTAACAAATCAGAGCAAGCATAGCTTCAAATAAACAGGCAGACAGAGAAAAGGATCGAGGGCAAAGCACCTGGGGACACCTCATGGTCTGAGTTGCTTCCCTGGTTGAAAGGAGTAAGGACGTCGCTGTTATTTGTGTGATCTGAAGGAGCAGTGAGACACCTTTAGTTCTCGGTGCTCCTACAAGAAACAGCCAAATGCACTTGCAAATCAGGCTATGAGCCACTGAAGGTAGACGAGAAGGTGTTTTCTAAAACTAGCCCATCGCAGAGAGGGGAAAAAAAAAGAATTTATGAAAGAGAATGAAAAAATATAGGTGGAAAAAACCCCCTAAAAGTTCCTAAGTTTCTAAAAGGACAGAGTCTGTCCTATGCGTCGCCCATATCCCCTTGGGAGGTTTAAAGCGATTCTCACTCAGGCCATCACTTCACTGGCTGACATTGACCTTTCTTGGACATCTACTGTAATTTCTCCTTGGCTTCTGCATCTGGGAACCCGAGACCCCTTGGTCAGATTTAAACCCCTAATTGCACTCTTCATTTTAAATCAATTTAAAAATAAACCAGGCCAGACAGAAAGCTTCCAAACACACAAGTAAAAACTGATCATCCATTTAAAAGGGTGAAGTGTTTGAGCGCGACAGCCAAACTTACAACAGCTTTATTTCCTTCTTTTATGGTGATCCAGTCATCCTCATTGGAGCTGATGTCTACTCTGTAAGTCTTAACGTAATATTTCTTCTTTGTTTCCTTAGAAATAGCACCCTGGGTTCCAATAGCGGTGACAAAGCGCAGGAGGCCCAGGTCCACCTGCAATGCAATGACAAGTGTGGTCAGTAGGCTGCTCCTGCAGTTCTACAGCACAGAGTGTTTTGATTTTATTTTAATGGCCTCCACATGGTCATGTTCATCCACCCATGATCACCGGGGCCTGATTTCACGTGGTGTCAATAGCCCATCCCCATTCATTCCTACAGAAAGGCAAAGAGGGCAATTGCCACGGCTGGTTCCTATTGCCGGAAGAAAGAAGAGACCTTCTCTTTGCTGCAACCGATATTGTATGATCCCTGGTTTAAAGTTGAAAACTGGGTTCAGTATCATGCCATTATTTTCCTAAGACATTAAACATATTTTTCAAGTTGTACACTAACATACGTCATTCTATGAATAGAAAATCAAGACAAACAAGGCAAACGCACTCATTGGACACTAGAGAGGTCTGGGCTCAGATTCGCATCTAACATGATGCCATTTCTGAACCTCTTCAGCATCCTCCCTCCTTCTGGTGAATGAAGGCTGAACTAAAAGTGCCTTAAAGCACCAGCAGTGCTGTGGTTTGGGAAATGAGCCATAGATACAGAATCTGGAATGGAGTGAGGATCTTTAAAGAGGAGAGAGAATCTTTAAAGTCTTTCTTTCCCAGAGTCTTCCCTGAGTCTTTTCCCTTCAGCAGGATTTCCAGGCCCCACTGAGATGGAATCATGTCTCCATGCACCAGCTGCCAGGGCTTGTGAGCTCATCCCAGTAGCTGTCCAGCAGAAAAGGTCCCCAGCACGACCTGGGGACTTCCTGGCTTCCACCCTCACCTGCTTATCTCACACCCCTGAAGGCTGGGCTACTTGGATATCATGACAGTAACAAGTTGTGCTCTGCCACCTGCTCCCACCACAATGTGCTACTGCTTGACAGGCCCCAAAGCAACCGCCAGTTGACCATGAACTGGAACCTCTAAGACCATGAGCCAAGGTACACCTTTTCTCTTTATAGGTTGGCTATCTCAAGTGTTTGTTACAGTAATGGAAAGCTGACTAATACAACATTTCAACTCTTTGTGTGATTTCTTTATTCATATGCCTTATAAGTAGTTCCAGTAAAGTCAAATATTTTAAAAGTTTTATTATTTTCATAATTAATAACTTAAGCAAAAATTTAAAATATAACCCATTACTAGTTTCTATATATTAGAAATATTTTCAGTGTTTTTTAAAACATTCATTTGATTGTTCCTATAATTGGTTCTTTTCCTCTATCTATTGTATGGCCAGTGTTTTGTAGAAAGAAATGAAATGTGCTTGAAGAAGTGAAACGTATAAATATAGTAGATATTATTTAAAGGACACCAAAAGTAATTGTAAGATACAAGTGATTAGCATTCACAAGATACTTCAACAATAGAATATTTACCATTAAGAGGTAACAGAAGGCCATTTTCCTTGAAAATAGCAACAAAAGCAAAGCAAAGCAAAACAGAACAAAATCCTCACCCACACCTGAATCTTGCTTTCCAGCTGCTACATGACAACCCAATTTTCAGGAAACAGTATTTCAATTAACCCTCCAGTGCCTACAGGCCACAAACACCTAAAGTTTCTGTGTTGTGCACAGCCTGGTTCATGAAGAGTGGTGATTGTCTTTCACGAATTTCTCTTTTCCTGCAGGCCCTCGGAGCAGTTAAATCAAGGAATTGCCAATTTGCTTTAAAACTGAATCAAGGCCTACAACCAGGAAAAAGCACACATTGAAGCCAGTTTGAAAGTTACACAATTTAACAAAAGTAGATTTCCATAATCTAATTTAAATGAAATAAATCATATACAAGCTTAAATATCACATGGTTTCTCTTATATGAGAAACTCAAAATATAAATACAGAGCAAAATGAAAGACAGATAACAGGAAGCAGGGAGACAGATCTTTCTCAAACGGGAAAGAGATCAAGATATGGAGGGAGGGGGAGGATGGAGGGAAAAGGGATGAAAAAAGAATTGAGATGTGTTATGTACATGTAGCAACTCCCCATGAGGAACGTAATCATTATGTACTGCAAACATGTACTAAGAAAAGATTTTTACAAAACAATAGCACAATAGTAGATCTCCTCTGGGAAGGATGGGAGTACCATTCAATGCCAAACAATCTTTATTTTATTTCCCTGATTTAAAGGATGTAAATTCTATGCTCTGTATGCTTCCCCCAGATTTAAGAGAGAAAAGGAGCATGACTTTAGTAGAAATTAATATTTTAGGAAAAGGATATTGGATGTTTTAAATTTTAATTTACATGTAATATTTACTCAGCACATTTTTATCAAGTGCATATACTTGTTAACTGAAATGTGTATGTTTTCCCAAAAGCGAACTATGGCACTTTGAATGAATGTTTTAAACTTGCCATGCCTTTCATGTACAAATTTGAAAAGGAGGAGGCAATCAATGATTATCAGTTAGCAAAAAAAAAATAGTTAAATTTGCATTTAAATAATTTAAGTTTAATTATATTCCGTGTAATATTTGAAGGCATACTTATACTAATAACTGATTTATTTATTTAATTGCTTACTTAAAATTTGCATTTAACTAGATGTTCTGAATGTTACCTGGCCACCTAAATCTTACTAGATTTCAGACAAATAGGTGATTTTAAGTTGCTGCAAAAATTTTGATTTCATAATGGTGCAATCTGGAAGTTAATTCTAGACATGGTTTGGTGAACAGTTCAACTATTTTCAAATGCTCTCAGAACACTTAGTGCTTTACTGGCTGTCCACTGAGTCATGCCAATACCACATCCACTTTCAAGCTGAAGGGTCCTTAAAGTCTTGAAGTCCAAGGGAGCATGAAGCAGAGCTATTTAAATAAACTCTTCCTGTCAAATTTACAGATGGCTCTTCAGTTTGGAAATGATTAAATCCCCCAAAGTGCATAATTCAGCTTGAGCTGGTTAGAAATAGCTCTAAAACTTAATTCCCTGGCTGTTCTTCTCCTACTTTTATAGTTTTGTTTTTGAGTGAAATTTAGTTACCAGGTAGGAAAGAAGTAAACAAGTGTCAACTAGAAGCATCCTTAGGGTCAAGAAACCTCTAACATTCGAGGAAGCAGCAATAGATAGGAATTAACTAGCACACAAGACTGAAAGCTGTCCAAGATCCCACATACAAAGGCCCACAAAAGCAAATGCATGAATCACTCATAAAAAAGATATTCTCTTCTCTCCACAGCAATGAAATGCATTAGCAACCTCCCCTTATAATTGCAAAATTTTCCTGCTGTGCTTTAAAACTCTGCAGATTCTCTTATTTGCCACACTGGGATACTTGAAATTTCATTTCATTTTTCTTCCTAGCATTACTGCCACTGGGTTTAGTAAAGATGGATGACAATCTCAAAAAATGATGAGGGCTGGGACCTACACCAATGCAATTAAAACTGGATGGTACCCAGAACTCTACCAAGACGCAGCTTCCCTAGCACTGTGGATTCTCATGGCAACAGCGGGGCAGTTCCTTCCGAGAATCCTTTCTCTCCAAGTGCCTTCGGGGAATTCTCTTGACAAAAGACCTACACTTACCCCTTCCCTGCTGGAGAAAGTCTGGGAGGCAAACTTGACAGAGACTGCCCTGCCTTACCATCATCATTTATACACTGGTGTCTGTCAGGAGAGCCAGAGGATTATGTTGTGGTGTTTGTATCTGAAGATTTCTAGAGGAGATCATTTCCAAATTTGCCACTTTAATGTAACGATTATTTTGAGCTGAAGCAACCGAGAATCAAGTGATGCAAGAAAAGTTCTGTGTCCTGCTTTTTCCTGCTTAGAGCAGGCATATACTTCCCTTTGTGCAGGTAGCTTCAACTTCTGCTCCTGTACGGGGGAGGAGAGTGACTCCTATATCACTCAGAGGGGCAGCACCAAGATGAACAAACTTTACTGAAATGACATATATTTCCCACTACTTCACCTCATATACTTGTCCACAACTTACCAGCCTTACAAGCCCAAACACCCTTTGTTTATCAAGTCATTTCTCCAGTATTTATTGCCCTTTGTTAAAATGGGATATGATGCCCAAGTCTAACTGCTTCTTCAGGTTTTTATTTCTTTTCTATGAAGCCCCCGTGACATTAAATTAAAAATGTGAATAGAATTTGTATACTTCTTTCTTGTTAGTCTATCTTTTGTCTGTTTAATTTGCTGGCCCATTTACAAACCAGAATACGTGCTAGAACAGCTTTTTTCATTCCCCTTTAGCTTTTACAAGCCTATGCGTCCTGGCGTATCTTTCCAAGCTAATCAAGACAGTGATCTCAATCCACCTTTTTTGATCTCTCCTGCTGCACTTCTTTCCCTTCAGCTGTATTCTTCAGCCATTAAAATATTTGTAGCACCTGACAGAAGCCTTCTCTGGCAGCCTGTCTTGGCAGGTAATGTTCTTTTGCCTTAAAAATAACTTTTCTTCTTTTTGACTAGAAATAACTTTTTCATCTTCTTAGCCCAGGAGACTAAGTCAGTTTCATGACCCCAGTGTGTTCTGTGCACAGCTCCTGCCTCCAGCACTCAAATCATTGTGCTACATTCTTGCTCTACCTCCTCTTACACTTTTATGTTTTCCTTTGAAAAACATCCCTTTTTCTGTAGAGCAAGTAGATGCCTACTCAAAATTTATAAAATGTAGTAAAGATTATAGAAGAAAATAAAATCCCCATAAAACCACCATTGGGAAATGATCCTTGATAATATAACATTCAGAGTTTTTTCTAGGCAAAACCGATATGAATACTTGTATGTTTTGCTATTATAAAAATTAAGTCATATTGTCTCTATGTTTGATAACCTGCCTTTTTCTTTATGGATGTACTTCTATACTAATCATACATTTTTCTGTAACATCATTTTTAATGGTTTCCCAATGGTATTCCATGGTATGGTTAGCAAAGGAAAATCTATTTTGTCAGTGTGCACTTGAGAACATTTGGGTATTGAATTTACTCAATTGACCGACATTCACTTAGTGGATACTTTCTATTGCTTATCTGC